GAGGCTTGGCTTGCTCTCTTGGTCGACTCAGTGTGCCAATTTGAGCACAATGCACCTTGAACAATGTCGCCCCTTCCACCATGTCTTTGGTCTTTATTCTGTTAGATACTGGGGCTACATTCTTGCTCCACCAGCCTCTCGGAGATATCAGCAGCCAGGCTCTCCTTGCTCAGGTGAGTTTCTTTCTCCCCTGTTCATGTATTCGGACTCATCCTGCTTTCTGAGCTGGTGCGGGGCAGGGAGGCATCACATCCAGAACATTCCCAGTCAGAGCATTCCTTCTCTACCAGCTGCATCGCCTTGTACTGCTCACGGCTTCCTATCCCGCTGAGGGTCACGTTAGCTGGGGTGGGCTCCACTCAGGCCTTCCCTCGCCCCTTAAATCCAGTCCTCTGGAGGCAAGGATAAGAGGGAGGGGGCTCCTTTTAGCCGCTGACCCCTGCTGCCCGCAGTGAGGACATTAAGATAAACCCTCTCCTTATCTGGACAGTGGGGCTGTGCTTCCTGGGGAGAGGGTTAATGGAAAGAGCTTCTTGGCATCAGCGTTGGAGAGATGGCCCGCGACACATCAGCAGTTCATTCCTGCTCCTTAGCACACATGGTTCTTCGGAGGTAAGAGGCCTTACCACCTCTTCCCCGGAGACACATTTCTGCCATTCTCAGCAAAATCTGCAAGCTAGTTTTTTTTTTTTTTTCTTTTTTTCCACTTTTTTCACAGAGTATGCCAGTCACGGGAGTGGAGTCAACACTGTTCGACATCCTGTCGTCCTGGGCCTTTTACTGCTGGGGGAAGCCGGGCGGAACACAGCCCAGGGGCAGAGAGATAGGAAGGGAGGTTTGCTAGGAATTTCAATTTATTGTAAGAAAATAGTCAAATCCTATATTCCAGACATATAGATGAACCGGAGGGGAGGCTCGGAAAGGTAAAAATGGCTGGAAAAAAAATTAATCAACATTTCCTGGGTGATGAACGTGTTCAGTTGGTATGGGAATCTACCGTGGCTACATGTGAAGGATGGTGTAAAGCCAGGGGAGCTCATCCATTGGTTGGGATTGCAAGCTGACCAAGATGGCACCTCTGTGGTCATCCTCTTGGGACTTAAGCGTTTAACCTAAGTTTAGGAAAGTGGAACAGAGTTTTCATTTGGCACGAAGTGGACCGTTTTTCTTAACCTGTCTCTTCTTCCATCCTCAGGCCTTTTAACTAAAAATAGGACCTGTCAGAAATTGTCTCTCAGCAGTTCGAGCCATGTCTCCTGAATCTCTCTGAAGGTAAGATCCACTTCCATGCCTCTTTTCCATCTGCCAGTTCCCTGAGTCGCTAGGATCACAGGGTGAGCTACCCGTTCCGGGCTTCTAAGAACTTTTGGCAGTTTGGCGCTGCTCCTGCTTGAAGAGAGACCAGTGGAGTGGCTGAGTGGTTTGACAATGATGTGTACACAGTAGAATAAGACACACAATGGTGCTGCTGTCCAGTTAACCAGTTTATGTTCTCTTGATCAGTGTGTGTGTGTGTGTGGATTTCTCAAAACTACCCGGAAGCATGGTACAGAAGATGAGACAATGTAATAGGAAATGATTGTGTCGGTGTATATCAAATCATAAGGAATGTCAAAAAGAACAGTGCCATAAGGAAAATGAATGAGAACATATTGCCCATGACCTAAAAGCCTGCTGGGAGGTACCCATCCTGACACACAACCTCCAAATACAGTGACCCTGGACATCAGGCATTTCTTACGGACCACAGAATTGGTCCATAATTATGTGTTCGTCATTGATTCTTGTAATATACTTTGTCATCTGTCAAATTTGGTCATTTTCTCTTTTCTTCTTATAGTTTTTTCCCTCTGCCAGTACTTGAAATTGTCCACATTATTTTTAAATTGCTAGGCTATGAATTTCATCTTTACATCTATTTTTTTTTTTTTTTTGGTTCATCATGGGGCTTGAACTCGGGGCCTGGGAGCTGTCCCTGAGTTTTCTGCTCAAGGCGAGTACTCTACCACTTTGAGCCACATTGCCACAGCGCCATTTCTTATTTTATGGTGGTTCATTGGAGATAAGAGTCTTACAGGAACTTTCCTGCCTGGGCTGGCTTCAAACTGCAGTCCTTAGATCTCAGCCTCCTGAGTGGCTAGGGTAAGAGGTGCAAGCCACCCGTGCCTGGCTTTTGCATAATTTTAAACTGGAGCTCTAAAGTGTGTAAAGACTTAGAACATTCTGGTTCTTTGGATGCCTTCTTCATGGAAATTTGATTCCACCAAAGTGTATGATCATAATGTTGACTTTGGATCTAAGTGTGTATGTAGAAATACTGAAACTTCCCCAGTAGAGGAAAAGATGTCCTTTGTATACATTTGCATTTGTGAAAACTTTTTAATTTGAGCTTTTAAGAAAACTGTGTGTCGGTGCCACTTGCTCACACCTATCATCCTAGCTACTCAGGAGGCTAAGATCTGAGATGTTGGTTCAAAGCCAGCCGGGCAAGAAAGTCCATGAGACTCTTATCTCCAATGAACCCATCAGAAAACTGGAAGTGGTGCTGTGGCTCAAGGGGTAGAGTGCTCGCCTTGAGCTGAAGAGCTGAGGGACAGCACCCAGGCCCAGAGCTCAATTCCCATGACCAACACATACACACACACACACACACACACAAAAGGGGGGTAGTGTAGTTGTAGAAGTGGGAGGGAAGGGATGGTAGGGGAAAAACAAAGGAGGCAACAATGCTTGATAAGAAATGTACTCATTACCTTGTTCATGTAATTGTAACCCCTCTGTACAGTATTTTCACAATAAAAAATGTATTACAAAAACAGGAGGTTCTGATACTGATACTGTGGGAAATCAGCCTTGCCTTGTATAGATGGTCAGCTCTGAATTTTACTATACGAATAAAAGAACTATGAAGATACTAAAGCCAAGTAATAAGGGAAAAAAAGAAAGAAAAGGAAAACTGCGTGACCCGTATGACCCATGATGGTTTCTGATTGACCTTAACAATATCAACACAGTGCCTCAGATAACCATAATCAGAAAACTGGTTACATGCATTTACCAACCAGCCACAGTGATATGTATTTATACCCTTTCACCTGTTTCTGAGTCAAAGCAGGCCATCTGTTCATAAATGTTATAGCCTGTGTGACTGTGGGTAGTATACAGAGTGCTTATGCTACAAGTTAACATGCTTAAAAAAGTGTTACTATTGCCTATGAACTATTCTGTTGTTTTTGTTTTTGTTTTGGCTTTGTTGGTCCTGGGGCTTGAACTCTGAGCCTGGGTGTTGTCCTTCAGCTCTTCAGCTCAAGGCAAGTGCTCTACCACTTGAGCCACAGCACCACTTCTGGTTTTCTGGTGGTTTATTGGAGATAAGAATCTCATGGACTTTCCTGCCCGAACTGGCTTTGAATGGCGATCTTTAGAGCTCAGCCTCCTGAGTAGGTAGGATTATAGGAGTGAGCCACCAGCGCCTGGCTATCCTGTTGTATTTGTGCATGCGTGCATGTATGCCAGTACTGAAGCTTGCACTCGAGTTGTTGGGCGCTTGCTTGGCTTTTTTCACTGCAGGCTGGCCTTCTACCACCTGAGCCACACCGCTACTCCTGATGTTTTGCCAGTGAGCTGAAGTTTACAGTCTCACAGATTTGTCTACGTGGGCTGCTCTCAGATGGCTAATTGGAGATGGAGTCCTGGGGGCTTTTCTACCAGCCCTGGCCTCGAATGGAGATCCTCTAGTTCACAGCCTCCCGAGTAACTGGATTAAAGATGTGAATCACCCAGCCTCCCACTAACAGAGAAACTTCTTCCACTGCACTATGTGGTAGATCTGAAGTAGGGGAGGGTGGGGGGAAAGTGTATGGAGGAGGGTAAGAAAATGCTTCCTTTTCTCAAGATTTTAAAAACAAATGATTGGGTTCCCCAGGACAATCGCTTTGAATTCTTCCTGTCTTCGCAGATCACCATGAAATGGGAGCAGCTTTCTAGGCAGGCGGCCCCAGTCTCCAGCCTTGACTCCTTGGGTGCTTGGCCTCCAGGTAAGGGCCTGCGGGTGAGAAGCTGGATAACTTCCTCCCAGGGATGCTGAGACCTGACGTGTGTGTGTGTGTGAGTTCCAACCCCACCCCCCCACCCCCCCCCCCGCCTTCTGACACAAGCACTGTGACCCACACTCACCCCTAAGCATGGCTGTATTCACTGAGGGCTGCGTCCTGATGGGTGTCACCTCCACAGGACAGGTGCGTGCTAGCCACTGAATGACTGAGGGGTTTCTAGGGACCCGAGGTTATGTCTGGGCGAGTTCCGGGCTGCGTCACAGGCTGAGGCTTTATGTGCAGGGCTTGGAGGGGGGCAGCACAGTTGACAGGGCCATTCAGGGTGGAGTGGGGGGGTCCTGAGACCCTCCCCTGTGTCTCAACCCCGGGCATTCAGATCTTACAGGTGTGCGCACACTGGAGTGGACCCCCAAACATCCTAGCACAGAGAAGTGGGGTGGGGGGGCGTCTCTTGACTCCCATTCCCCCCCCCCTTGCTCTCTACATCAGCTACTGCACGTTCCCACCCAGTCCTTCCTGGGGCCTGACCCTTGACCCCTGACCCCTGCCCACCCCAGCCACTCACCCACACCACAGCCCCCCCTCAGGGAAGGGTCAGCTTTCCTGGACTCAGGTCAGCCTCCCCTCTGTCCCGCTCTGGAACTCCCGAGGCTGTTACGCCGTGACGTCACGCGGTGACATCAGCACCTGTGTACACGCCAAGCCTCACCTTTAACCGTCCCGGCGTGAGGGCCAATCCTGAGGGAGCTTTCAGTTTCAACTTCCCTTCACCCCCACGCAGGAAACCTCCACTCTGATTGGCTGGCATTCGGCTTGCCCGCCCCCATTAGTGGAGAAGCCCCGCCCTAGCGCCCTTCCGGGATTGGCTCTGGCTCCCGGGCCCGGCCTCCCATTGGTGCGAAGTGAGTCCTGCGGCGCCGCCCGCCGCGGACTCGGCGCCCGGACCGGGGCCTGCGCGGGCTGGGACCGGCGCGGCCGCGGCCATGGCGGGGGGCCGCAAGGTGGAGCTGGCCGAGGCGCTGGCCATGGGGCCGGGCTGGCGGCACGCCTGCCACGCGCTGCTCTACGCGCCCGACCCGAGGCTGCTGTTCGGCCGCTTCCCGCTGCGCTACGCCGTGCTGGTGAGGGAGGGGGCCCCGACCCCGACCCCTGACCCCTGACCCGGGCCTGCGCCCGGCCCAGACCTGAACCCGGCCCACGCCCGACCCTCGACCCCTGACCCCGGCCCTGGCCCATTCCCTGGCCTCGACTTCCGACCCCGACCCTTGACCTCCGCCCGCGGACACCCCGGCCCTTGACCCTGACCTCAACCTCAGACCCCTGACCCCGGCCCGCGCCTCCCGCCCTCGACCCCTGACCCGGCCCACTCCCGCCCTCGACCCCTGACCCGGCCCACTCCCGCCCTCGACCCCTGACCCGGCCAGCGCCTCCCGCCCCTGACCCCCGACCCGGCCCTCTCCCGCCCCTGACCCCCGACCCGGCCCGCGCCTCCCGCCCCTGACCCCCGACCCGGCCCGCTCCCGCCCCTGACCCCCGACCCGGCCCGCTCCCGCCCCCGACCCCCGACCCGCTCCCGCCCCTGACCCCCGACCCGGCCCGCTCCCGCCCTCGACCCCTGACCCGGCCCGCTCCCGCCCTCGACCCCTGACCCGGCCCGCTCCCGCCCTCGACCCCTGACCCGGCAGCGCCTCCCGCCCCTCGACCCCTGAACCCGGCCCGCTCCCGCCCCTGACCCCCGACCCGGCCCACTCCCGCCCTCGACCCCCGACCCGGCCGCGCCTCCCGCCCCTCGACCCCTGAACCCGGCCAGCACCTCCCGCCCCTGACCCCCGACCCGGCCGCGCCTCCCGCCCCTGACCCCCGACCCGGCCCTCTCCCGCCCCTGACCCCCGACCCGGCCCTCTCCCGCCCCTGACCCCCGACCCGGCCCTCTCCCGCCCCTGACCCCCGACCCGGCCCGCTCCCGCCCCTGACCCCCGACCCGGCCCGCTCCCGCCCCGCAGATGCAGATGCGCTTCGACGGGCGGCTGGGCTTCCCGGGCGGCTTCGTGGAGGCGCGGGACGGCAGCCTGGAGGACGGGCTGAACCGCGAGCTGCGCGAGGAGCTGGGCGAGGCGGCCGCCGCCTTCCGCGTGGAGCGCGCCGACCACCGCGGGGCGCGGCTGGGGCCCCGGCCGGGGCTGCTCGCGCACTTCTACGCCAAGCGCCTGACGCCCGAGCAGCTGCGCGCCGTGGAGGCGGGCGCCGCGCGGGCGCGCGACCACGGGCTGGAGGTCAGACCCGGGGGGGCGGGGGGGGGCGACCACGGGCTGGAGGTCAGACCCGGGGGGGCGGGCGCGCGACCACGGGCCGGAGGTCAGACCCGGGGGGGCGGGCGCGCGACCACGGGCCGGAGGTCAGACCCGGGGGGGCGGGGCGCGACCACGGGCCGGAGGTCAGACCCGGGGGGGCGGGCGCGCGACCACGGGCCGGAGGTCAGACCCGGGGGGGCGGGCGCGCGACCACGGGCTGGAGGTCAGACCCGGGGGGGGGGGGGGGGACGGGCGCGCGACCACGGGCCGGAGGTCAGACCCGGGGACGGGCGCGCGACCACGGGCCGGAGGTCAGAGGGGGGGCGGGGGCTCGACCACGGGCTGGAGGTCAGACCCGGGGGGGCGGGGGCGCGACCACGGGCCGGAGGTCAGACCCGGGGGGGGGGGGGCGACCACGGGCTGGAGGTCAGACCCGGGGGGGCGGGCGCGCGACCACGGGCCGGAGGTCAGAGGGGGGGGGGCACGGGCTGGAGGTCAGAGGGGGGGGGGCACGGGCTGGAGGTCAGACCCGGGGGGGCGGGGGCGCGACCACGGGCCGGAGGTCAGAGGGGGGGCGGGGGAGGCGACCACGGGCCGGAGGTCAGAGGGGGGGCGGGGGCACGGGCTGGAGGTCAGACCCGGGGGGGGGGGGGGGGGGGCACGGGCCGGAGGTCAGGCGGGGGGGGCGGGGCCGCGGGCTGGAATTCTGGAGGGGGCGGGGCTGCGGGCTGGAGGCCTGGAGGGGGGCGGGGCCGCGGGCTGGAGGGGCGGGGCCGCGGGCTGGAAGTCTGGAGGGGGCGGGGCCGCGGGCTGGAGGTCTGACCCGCCCCCCTCCCCAGGGAGCCTCGCCCACAGCTGCCCCACACCCGAGCTGACACCCAGATGTCCAGGAGGAGTCGATGACCGCCAGTGCGGGTGACTCTTTCCATCTAGGTCCCCTGACAACTCCTCCTCGCTCTCCACCTTACCTGTCCTCCACAGAGAACCTTCCAGAACCCACCCATCCACTTGGCATGTGGTCGGGTGGGACATCTAAGGCCCTCCCGGCTTTGCGCCGCCATTAACCTTAAAAGAGCCCCGGGTACTTGAGTTAGAGAGGAGACATGTCTGGATGGTCCTCAAACTCTAGAAAGTATGAGGAGATGGGAAAGTGTGTGTGTAACTGTCTACCATAGCCGCCTGTGGTGGTAGATGGCACTAACGCAGTCATGAGTGGAAGGGGAGGAAGATAGGTGTCAAGTGATGTCCTGGAGTAGCTGGTGCCAAGTTCCTGGCTGCTCAGGCAGGTAGGACCCCCCTTTCCCCCATCCCCGGAAGAGGTGGGTTGCGCTCTAGCTGAGATTGGAGTGGATAATAAGCTTCAGATCCCCCACACACACCCCAACGCCTTGTCTCCCCTCTCCCCCAGGTGCTGGGCCTTGTGCGTGTACCCCTGTATACGCTGCAGGACGGCGTGGGCGGCCTGCCTGCCTTCCTGGAGAATTCTTTTATCGGCGCAGCGCGGGAGCAGCTACTAGAAGCCCTGGAAGACCTGGAACTCTTGGAACCTGACGCCATCTCATACCTCAAGACCCGAACTCCTCCTCAGTAGAAGAAATCTTCCGCAGACAAGGAACCTGAGATCAGGACTTTGGTACTTTGGAGGGAGGGAGGGAGAGAAAAAGGGAAAGGGGGAAGATTTTTCTCTTGGGGGCCTGTGGGATGATGGATCATCACTTTTTGAGGGAAGGGGGAATAGGTTTTGAGTTGAGGTCCAACCAGAACATGGGCTCCGTGACGTCGGGACAAAAATCTACAGCTCATCCCAGGCCTCGGAAGTTTTCTGAGTCAGCCTCGTGTACACACTACCTGGCAGCCTCAGGCATGCGCAATACAACCACACACGCACACAGCCTGACACTTCCCCTCACTGTGTCCAAAGTAACCAGGATGTGGGATTGTGATGATCCTGGTTTTCTGGAGCAATGGGAGTCTCCCCCCACCCCCCCACCAGCCCCAAGCTTGTTCGGATTGAGCCCAGGAACAGGCTCCCCCACGTGGGAGGCCCCAGTCATTTTCTTCCTCTGCAGTTAAGCTTACAGGGACCAGAGGTGGCTGCGTTCCTACCTGGAAGCCTCTTGAGTCCTAGTGCCTCTGCCCCAGGGCTTCATCTCTGAGCTGCCCTGGTTGCTGGGGAAGCAGCCCTACCGGCTCTGCCTGGCCGCCCACCCACAAGGGCCTCCCAATGTAGAAGCTTCCGAAGCTGGGCTTCCGCCCCTCCCCTTCTCTCAACTGATACGCCTTATACATCTCCTAATGCTCCCTGGCCAGAGCTTAGCCAGGCCCCTTGCTTTCCATAGGCTTCGGAGCAGGTGGTGGGCACATCGCTTCTTAAAGATCTGGACAAGAAATATTTCAGACTGTGGAGGCCACATAGCTTCGGTGCAAACCCTTAACTCTGACATGTCAAAATTTACCCGCACAATACATAAGTCTGTGCCTTGTGTCCAACAAAACAGGAATACGGCCTTTGGGCCATAGTTTACTAAACGCTACTCTTGAGAGGAAGAGGGTAATAATATTGGTGATGCCACCTTACTTGAACGTGTTCCCAGGAAATAAACGAGGAGCTGATACAGTCCCGCGTGGATATTTTGAGTGGGGTTGTATGGCAGGCCATCCTTGGGCAACGTGTTAAGCTGAAAGATGAGAAAGAAGGAAGCTTCAGGTGCAAGCCCTACTGTGGGAAGAATCCTGGAAAACACCCCAAAGTGCATGGCCTAACCCAAGAACCCTACTGGGTCTCAAGAGTTGCATTTAGAGGGTTTAAACATCCTTGCTCTAGTCCTTGACAGGTGAAATGCCAGCCTACCAGCCTGGATATCTAGGACCTGAAAATACTATCAGTGATGATAATAGTCAACATCTTGCAGGTGCTCAGTATGCTGGCACTGTCTAAGATGCTACACACACACACACACACAAAACCCTCAGAATGGCTTTATGAAGTAGAGCTAGTCTCTCCATTGTCCAAATTAAAAAAAAAAAAAAAGACCCAAGATCAGCAATATAATTAATATGTTTTGCCAGAAAGACAGCTATCTGTAAATTCAAGGAACCATACCTTTAGCTGACCCTGGAAATCTGTCCTGGGCCTTCCCTCTTCAGTAAGGCAGCACATGGTAATGCATGCCTATAATCCCAGCATTTGGGAGACTAAGCTAGAAAGACATATACTAGAGTTCAAGGTCGACAAGAGCTACATAGTAAGACCCTAATAACAGCCAAAGCAACAACAACAACAACAAAAATCAAAGACCATATCAGGGGATGTAGTTTAATAATATTGCCTAGCATGAAGAGGACTCTGAAAAAAATAAACGACCTCAGTGAGTCCTCTTTAATCTTTTATTGTCTTCTTGGAATGACAGGCTGCACATGCAGTACTGTCTGGCTAGGCGATAAAAGTTCAAACCCTCGTAATGCCAATAAATAAAACTACTGAGATTTCTTTGTCAGTCTTGGGCTTGCACTCAAGGCCTGGGCACTGTCCCCGAGCTCTATTTGCTCAAGGCTAGCGTTCTACACTTTGAGCCACATTGCCACTTCTAGTTTTCCCGGTGGTACATTGGAGACAAGAGTCTCTTGGACTTTCCTGCCAGGACTGGCCTTGAACTGCGATCCTCTAAGCTCAGCCTCCTGAGTAGCTAGGATGCCAGGTGGGAGCCACCAACACCCAGTTAATTTTCTTTTTTTCTCTTTCATACGAAGTCTTTTAGCCAATACATGTATTCTTTGGTTTAAAAAGAGACTAGTTAAAAATGCAAAAGGAATTACTTTTTCCTTCCTGAGTTTTACAGAAATAAGCATAAAAAGTAAACATAACAAAAAGGAGAGGGTTCAGGGAGCAGACTTAGATCTCATCCTAGCAAGAACACAGAGCGTCTCTGGTGCGGATAGAAGATCTGCTATCCAAACGAGTCTTCCTTAGTGGCCCATAAAATACTAATGCAGGGCTGGGAAGGTGGCTCAGTGGTAGAGTGCTTGCCTAGCATGCATGAAAGCCCTGGGTTCCATTCCTCAGTACCACATACACAGAAAAAGCCAGAAGTGGTGATGTGGCTGAGGTGGTAGAGCGCTAGCCTTGAGCCAAAGAAGCCAAAGGGACAGTGCTCAGGGCCCCGAGTTCAAGCCCCAGGACTGGCAAAAAAAATAATAACAATGCATGTTACCATCAGTGATGTGGTAGCGTGGGGGAGGGGGAGGGGAAGCCTCGTCCTTTACCTCAAAGGCTCCCACATTGACTTCTAAGAAATAGCGCCTGGGTGCCAGCAACGCCCTACTGACGCAACCCCGAGAAGCAAATGACGCCGTGGCCTGCAGCGGAATGTGGGGCGTGCTGGGTGGAGGCCTCAAGCTGGTAAGTATATGCCCCTCCCACCATCCATTTGAACTACCTTTTGGAAGGACTCCAAAGCTATGGCTGAATGAGGGAGGAAACCCCAGAGAAGCTGAGCGTCGGCGGCTCCCGCCGTCATGCCAGCTACTCAGGAGGCTCAGAGCTCAAAGCCAGCCCAGGCAGGAAACTCTGAGAGACTCTTACCTCCAATGAACCACCAGAAAACCAGAAGTGGCGCTGTGGCTCAAGTGGTAGAGCACCAGCCTTGAGCTGAAGAGCTGAGGGACAGCGCCCAGGCCCAGAGATCAAATCCCACAACTGACCAAAAAAAACAAAAGATCCATTTCAGACACTAAGTTCATTTGCTCATTTCCCAAACTAGGCTCTGTCGAGGTGCTTCTAAGTGGTGTGTGTGTGGGGGTGGAGGGGAGAGGGACGACAAAATGACACACTAAAAAAGACTGGACAGAAGGCCTCCAAGGACTTTTGTTCCCAGACTGCCGGAGGAAAAAACAAGTCTTCGTTAGTGACATATTGATGATTCTTGGTTTTTTTGGTCGGTCGTGGGGCTTGAACTCTGGACCTGGGCACTGTCCCTCAGCTCTTCAGCTCAAGGCGAGCGCTCTACCACTTGAACCACCTTCCCAACCCTATACATTTTAAATGACAGTATTTGAACTAACTACTTGGGTATATCTCAAAAATCAGAATTTGTGGAAATAAAGTGTTAGATGAAAAAAACTCCATAACTCTGAAATGCTTTAGTTTGATACCAAAACCTTTCTTTGTGTGTGTTGGGGGGGGGGGGGGGGGCTTGAACTCAGGGCCCAGGAACTGTCCCCTAGCTTTTTTTGCTCAAGGCTGGCACTTTGCCACTTGAGTCATAGCTCCAGATCTGGTTTTCAGTTAATTGGAAATAAGAGTCTCACGGACTTCCCTGCCCAGGCTGCCTCCAAACCTCAATCCTCAGGTCTCAGCTAGGATTACAGGTGTGAGTCACTGGCACCTGGCTGGCTTGATGGCTGTTACTCATGCATCCTTGTGGCTTGTTTGGCCGAGACCGAATACACTCAACTCAGTGTGTGTATAGACGGTTGGATGGATGGTATCTCGATTACACATATGTATATGGATGGTATATATGTATATTATATATGTGCTTATAGAATAATGCATGGTATCGATTATATACATGGATGATACATATGTATATTATATATCCTTATATATATGAATGGGTATCTCAGTTATATATGGATGCTATATATATTATATGTACTTATATATTTTATATATAAATTATATAATATATATTCCACCATGTATTTATATATTTATATTATTTGATATATATCACGTTATATATATATAAATATATTGCAGACATAACTTTCTTTTATGGCAAAACATGAATAAGTCCAGACTCCTGAGAACCATAGTGCTCAATCTAGGACTGTAATGCAACTATGTGGCACTAAAAGGCGATGAGGAGTGGGGGAGGGCTGGGAAGGTGGCTCAGTGGTAGAGTGCTTGCCTGACATGCATGAAGCCCTGGGATCGTTTCCTAAGTACCACATACACAGAAAAGGCTGGAGGTGGCGCTGTGGCTCAAGTGGTAGTGCTAGTCTTGAGCCAAAGAAGCTCAGGGACAGCGCCCAGGCCCTGAGTTCAAGCCCAGGCCTGGCCAAAAAAAAAAAATTATAATTAACATTTGTTGGGGGGAAAAAAAGAGCTTAAAACCAAACAAAAAGCATAAGCAAAACAAAACAAGCAGCACTAAGGGGTGTGGTGGCAGCTGGTGGAGATGGCCTTTGTGCCGTGTCTCTGGCTTTTCATTGGGCAAAGCACCGGTCTCCGCGTGCACTGATGAGGCGTTGCCTTTGCTTCCTGTGACAGAAACGGGGCAGCTGTGTGTTGTTTGGCACCAGGTTCTTGCAGGAGAAGCCGCGCAGGCCGGGCGTGGGTGGGCGGAGCGTGGGCTCCTGGCACACACAGGTCAGGAGTGTGACCAGACAGGATGCCCGCGAGAGACGGCGCCCACGCGGGAGGCAGCCAAGGTCATGCACAGAGCCAGGCCAAGAGACGGCGCCCACGAGGGAGGCAGCCAAGGTCATGCACAGAGCCGGGCCATGAGAGACAGTGCCCACGCGGGAGGCAGCCAAGGTCATGCACAGAGCCGGGCCGAGAGATGGCGCCCACGCGGGAGGCAGCCAAGGTCACGCACAGAGCCGGGCTGTGGGTCTGCAGGCCGCAGGAGACGTCTCTCCTCCAGCCCTCTCGCTCTGCTCTGTCCTCCTCCACCCCTTCTCAGCCTGGGCACACGGCAAGTTCAAGGACAGGAAGGGGGGCTGTGTGGCTCCCGGACCCCAGGTTCCAGCTGTTAGAGCAAGACGGACTTTTCTGGCATTTTCTGGCATGTTCACACCACTCAGAGGTGAGTGATAGTCAGGCGCCGGTGGCTCACTTGGGTCATCCTAGCTACTCAGGAGGCTGAGATCTGAGGATCGCGGTTCAGCGTCAGCTTGGACAGGAAGTCTGTGAGACTCTGATCTCCAATGAACCATCAGAGAACCAGAAGTGGTGCTGTGGCTCAAGGGGTAGAGTGCCAGCCTTGAGCTGAAGAGCTGAGGGACAGCGCCTGGGCCCAGAGTTCAAGCCCCACGACCGGCCAAAATAAAGAAGTGAGCAGTAGATAGCCTGGCCACTGCAGTGTAGGGAATGAAGGCTTTGATCTCCACCACGTGTGTGTGCCTTCATTTCCCTTCCCCAGACTTGTACCTTGGGTTTCAGAGAGGCGAGAATTTCCAGCTCATTTGCAGCTCGCTTGCAAAGCAGAGCTTTAGTGTGAAAATACCTCCCCCACCCGTACCTCCCCCCCTTCCCCGGCAGTAACTCTTGGCACAGAGTTTTGTTGGACAGGATCTTGTGTCACCATCCACCATAACGTGGCATTGTCCACGTTGCAAATCGCTGAGTTCCTGTGTGGGGAATCGCCTTGTCTGGGCGTGGCAAAGTGAGTAGACTTGACTTTTAAACTATTCTTTTTTGTAAAATATATTTAAAAAATGAAAAACAAAAACATGACCCTTTAAAGTTGGAACACATTGGGCTGGGCAGGTGGCTCAGTGGTAGAGTGCTTGCCTAAGCATGCATGAAGCCCTGGATTGCATTCTTCAGTAGCACATATACAGAAAAAGCCAGGAGTGGCGCTGTGGCTCAAGTGGTAGAGTGCTCACCTTGTGCAAAAAGAAGCTCAGAGACAGCGCCCAGGCCCTGAGTTCAAGCCTCAGGACCGGTAAAAAAGAAAAAAAGCAGCTGGAACATATTTGTGATGTTCGTGGTGGTCCTCTACATTTATTTCAGTGATTGCTTGGAAAGAAATCACTTATTTGAAGTGTGAATTTTTGGCCCCCACTGGAGACCATGTTTATCTAATCTTCACGTGAGTGTCTGGTGCCTTGAGTCTTTAGAAAGCAGGTTGAGCCAATCAGGCCTGTTATTGTTGGTTTTGGTCAGTCGTGGGGCTTGAGCTCTGGGCCTGGGCGCTGTCCCTCAGCTCTGCAGCTCAAGGCGCGCGCTCTACCACTCGAACTACAGCGCCACTTCTGGTTTTCTGGTGGTTTATTGGATATGTGAGTCTCACGGACTTTCCTGCCTGGGCTGGCTTTGAACCTCAGTCCTCAGATTTCAGCCTCCTGAGTGGCTGGGCTGACAGGTGTGAGCCACAGGTGCTGGCTGGTTGGAGTCTTTTTAATTTGTTGTTGCTCCGAGAAAGGGAGAGAAGAGAGAGCAGAGAGGTGAGATCTGAACTCAGGGCTCAGGCTCCTTCTCTGTGCCTGGCTGGCTCACCTGCCATCTTCTCCCTGGTGAGTCTTCTGCCCAGCCCAAGACAGGAAGGAAAGTGGGGTGTGGGTCCCTCATACTGAGAGACCTGGGGGCTGGTTTTGCAGCCATTTGCGCTGCCCCCTTGTTACAGGCTGCAGGTGGCTTAGCTGCTTTCACTGTGGGAAGTGGGGGTGGAGATCGGGGGTTGGGGGGTCTCGTCCCCACATCCCTCTTCTTGTCCCTGCTGGGGGGGGGGGTGCTTTGTGAGCTGTCCCCAACTGGCTGACAGGTGATGGTTCCCCTGACCCTGCCCGCTCCGAGCACAAGCCTGGCCCCGCCGTCCCTGGGCCCAGCTCCCCAGGGCCCCCGGGGATCTTCTAGGCCAGGAGGAGCCAGCGCAAAGCAGGGACCAGCCAAGGTCCAGAGCTGGTCACTCCCTGCGCGTCCTTAGACAAACACACATGCGCACATGCGCACCTGTGCAGCCCACACACCACACCTGCTCTAGGGAAGGTCCCTCCCCTCCCTTCCCCTCTCCATCTCCTTCCTCTTATCTCCCCTCCCCTCCCCTCCCCTTCCCTCCCCTCCTCTCCCCTCCCCTCCCCTCCTTCTCCTTCTCCTTCCTACTCAGTGTTCAAACCTCTCCACTCTGATGTTGATTGAGGAGACCCTCCCACAGGAGCAGCTAGTGTGCTCACATCCTTCAGCCCTGGTAGGGTGTGTGCGTGCGTGCGTGTGTGTGTGTGTGTGTGTGTCTATGTGTCTATGTCTATGTGTCTATTTCTACGTGTCTATGTCTATCCTGGGGCTTGACATAAACTTAACATTTTTGGGGGGGAGCACGGGGGAAAGTCAGTCGTGGGGCTTGAACTCTGGGCCTGGGCGCTGCCCCTCAGCTCTTCAGCTCAAGGCAAGTGGTGTAGCACTTGAGCCAGAGCACCACTTCGGGTTTTCTGGTGGTTAACTGGAGATGAGTCTCTCAGACTTTCCTGCCTAGGTTGGCTTTGAACTGTGATTTTCTCAGATCTCAACTTCCTAAGCAGCTAGGATGACAGGTGTGAGCCACAAGTGCCTGACAATATAAAGGCTTTTTCTTGTCAGTGGTGGGGCTTGAACTCTGGGTGTGGGTTCTTTTGCTAGCTCTCTACCGTCGATCCACAGCTACACGTCTGGTTTTCTGGTGGTTCATTGGAAAGAAGTGTCTCAGACTTTTCCTGCTTAGCCTGGCTTTGAACCGTGATCCTCAGATCTCAGCCTCCTGAGCAGCCAGGATGACAGGTGTGAGCCCCTGGCACCCGCTGTAGAATAGATTTTACACAAGAGAGCTTTTCTTTATTATTGTTTTACAGAACTTTTTTCTTCCTAGGCTGATTCATGGCTGTTTTTGGGAATAGGCCTCCCCCGTGGGGCTGGTGGCCTTGGCTGTGCTCGAGCTCTTTTTGGCAGGAGTCTGGTTGCTGTTCGTAACTTTTCAGGGCGGAGGAGGCTAGCAGATCTTCAAGGTAGGGCATCGGGCGGGGGCTTCATGGCGGGCAGGAGAAAATGGGCCAGCCAGCCACGCTGCTGGCTGCCACGTTTGCTTCCTCACAGAAACACAAACCCTATTTTAGATAGGGAAAGCTATGTCAGGAAGCCATTTATTGTTCCTTTTTGACCCATTAGTACAAGTCATCAATGAAATCTGTCCGGGTCTTGGGTCATGGAGTGTTTAATCAGTTCCTGCCCCAAGAAAACACATCCCCTGAGACCATGTCTTACCCCTTCAAAACCACACACTTCTTGTTGGGCAGCGGTGGCTCACGCCTGTAATCCTAGCTACTCAGGAGGCTGAGGTATGGAGGATTGTGGTTGGAGGCCAGCCCAGGAAGGAAAGTTGATGAGCCTGTTGTTGTTTTTTTGGAGACTGCGTCTTGCTGGGGATCCACGGCTGGGCTTGAATGTGGTCATGTGTCCCAGCCTGGCCTCAAGCTGGAGATCCTCCTGCTTTGGCCTCCAGAGGTCTTGGATTATGGATTACAGGCATGCGCCATCACGAGCAGCTACAGATGGACGGAGGCCCCTGTGATGATGTAAGGTTCAGTATCTCCCTCCCGCCCCCCACCTCTGCTGTCCCCCTATTTTCTCATCTACAGCTGGTACCAAGGATGCTGGAACCGTGTGGTTTGGGCGAGTGTGTGCTTCCACACCACGTGAATGAGCTGGGTCACGCACTATTGTAACTCACACACACAGCGTGCATTTTTTCCACACATGTGGACCATGATTTTATTTCACCCACACCTGGCTTTCTCCCAAGACACCGACACACAGACACAGGCAGTAGGAACTAAACATGGCAAGACTTAGGGATTGCAGAGTGTAAAAAATAATAACGAAGGCCACCGATGAGTTTGCTCGTCGCCAAGCCGTCCACGTTGGGGTGTGGCTGCGGTGGAGGCCCTGGGGCAGCAGAGGTGCAGGGCGGGCTCCCAGAGGCTCCCGGCAGTCACGTTCTGCTGCGTGGGGGGCGCTAGGCAAAGCTGACCGACGGGGCTCCGGGCTGCCACACGCTGTCGTCATACAAGTCTTCGGGCAGCTCCTCACCATCGGCGTCGGGGAAGTACGTGGGGAAGGGGAGATGCTTGCCCAGGTCTCTGTACGCAGGCAGATTGGAGTCCCTCACCTGGGGAGACAAAAGCCCAAGTGAGCACGCGCGAGCTGCGAGCTGCATCTCTACCGGGGATCAAAGGACAAGAGCCGTGGAGCTCAGCCCGCGCCTCCCGTGAGACGCCAATGAACGTGACTAATCCAGGGAGAAAACAACGAAAACCTCCATGTCCCACACGTACGTTAACTGAGAGGTACTTGTAACCGCACTGTTAAGATTCCGTCTTCAGCTTCCAGCTCTGTCTGGGCGTGCTTTTCAAATAAAAAGGTTGAACAACTACTACCCACCTAGCCATCATCTATCATAATGTTTGTTTTTGTTTTAGTTTATTTTCTCTTTTTTCCCCCCCCCTTCATGCTGGGGTTTGGACTCAGGGTCTAGTGATTGCTAGGCAAGACCCCAAACATTTGAGCTGTACCTCCAACCCAATTTCCTACTTTAATGAAAGTTAAAATTTTTTTGTGGGTCGTGGGGCTTGAACTCTGGGCCTGGGCGCTGTCCCTCAGCTCTTCAGCTCAAGGCGAGCGCTCTACCACTTGAGCCACAACATCACTTCTGCTTTTCTGGAGATCAGAGTCTCTCAGACTTTCCAGCCTGGGCTGGCTTTGAACTGCGATCCTCAGATCTCAGCCTCCTGAGTAGCTAGGATGACAGGCGTGAGCCACTGGCGCCTGGCTTTCGCATGGAAAAATTTTGAGCCGAGGTTTAAGAAGTGTAAAGTTTACCAGCATTTTTGTTAATCATAACTCTTCAGAGCACACAACCACAAATATCACCTTGCTGTTAAGGAAATTAGCTTATATTTAGTAAACAGCATTTTCATTAAAAACAGAATCTTGAGCAAAAACAGTAAGCCTACGAGTATTTATAGTAGCTCTGTGCCCTGAGAAAATTCAGCTTGAGTTCAGAGCCAAGGGAATTTTGGTACTGATATTGATATGATCTAAAATGTTTGAGCTTTACTTTCAGACAACATTATTGGGTTCCTCAAAGCTCGTGACTCATCCTCTAGCCTTTATTCAGAGAGCAATTAAAAAACAGCCGTGTAATTATATACACAGAGTAAAACGGGTATATTCACTTTGGCAGCGAGAAATGAATAATTTAGTTGGAATCACTCCACAGCTGTGAGGAACAGCTACACAGGGAAAAAAATCATCCATTTCAATGTCTCTCATGAAAACAGTTTGAAGAAATTACAAGTCATTTGCCCAGAACATTAAAAAAAAAAAAAAGGATGCCGAGTTTATTATTATTTTTAATCTTGGGTTGAATCTAGGAACGAAAAGATTAAATACCAGTCCTTGTTCTAATTCGATAAAAATGGTCACATTTTGATCCAAACAGGGAGTTCTCAGTTACTCTCTCATAGATCTGTCGCTCCCAAAGTCTGTTTCTGACAGTAAAAGCACTTATAGTAAATGGAGGTGTAGCGTGGTGATCTGAACGTAAATGATGATTAACCTAGCTGTGTTTGTGTTTGTCCTGGTAACAGCCCGTCTGCAATAAACTCTGGAAGACTGCACGGTGGACACTGTGTACTTGCATGGAAGCAGTCAAGTCAGGGCGGACATACCTTTACTAAGCCGTTCTTATGTCCAGGCACTGAGCCGTTGACGTAGATTATATTGTGCTTCGTGTTGACCCTCCACACCTAGAACATCAAAGGAAGGTGGCTTTTAACAGTTAACACTGGGAGCAATTAGTATCGCTCAGACTAAGCATGGCCCGTCAGTAATCCTGCCAGCTGCACAACACCGCATCTCCAGAGCTTGCGTGCTCACCACCACAGGCAAGACTTCGCAAAGCTCACTGTGGGCAGCCAGGAGAGCCAATGGGCCGAGACCATTTGTGTTGTCCTTTGAAAAAATGTAATTTTAGCCAGCCACTGGTGACTCACACCTGTCATCCTAGCTACTCAGGAGGCTGAGATCTGAGGATCGTGGTTCAAAGCCAGCCCGGGGCAGGAAAGTCTGTGAGACTCTGATCTGCAATGAACCACCAGAAAACAGGAACAACAAACATGTAATTTTATTTTTTTGCTGCAGCTAGAAGCGGGGGACTGCAGTGGGCGGGATCTGATTTCTAACGTAAGTGCGCTGAGTGGACGGCCTTCAGAAGGAGGGACAAACACTGCACATGGGAGAAGACAGTCGAGAGATGACTGAGGAGAGGGGTGAGGGGGGGGGAAAGCAGGCTTCCGCTGCAGCTAATCCTGAAGGATGCCGCGGAGAGCTGCGACGCACAGCTGGCCTCCGCCATGTCTACAGACCAGGGAGAGAAACGAGATTTACGAGGGCTGACGGAGGTGGAAAGGGCACCCTTAGGCTGCCTGAGAGGGGCTTTTCAGAACTCAGAGTGTGTGTGTGTTTAAGAGGTGGGGGGGGGGGGGGGGAGAGAGAGAGAGACAGAGAGAGACAGAGAGAGACAGAGAGAGAGAGAGAGAGAGAGAGAGAGAGAGAGAGAGAGAGAGAGAGAGAGAGTGTTTAGGGTTCGATTCCTCAGCACCACGTAAGCAGAAGGGACGAGAGCGCTCACCTTGAGCTGAAGAGCTGAGGGACAGCGCCCTCAGAGTTCAAGCCTCACAACCGGCCAAAAAAAAAAAGAAGCGTGTGTAGACTTGCCACCCGTGTGTGAGCGCCACCCAGTGGCTGGGCCTAACACATCCTGTCCCCACTGTCTCTTGGCCTTCTGCCTCACACCGAGGCTTTCCACGTTGCTTTCCCCGTCTCTTCAGCATCCTGTCTCACCTGTCCATTCTGGGACCCATGATGTAAAATGTGTACACTTCTGCGGATAAAAACGTACAAAAAAGCTGATCCTGAGGCTAAAACTCAGGGCCTAGCCATTGCTCTTGTGCTCAAGCCTCGTGCTCTACCACTTGAGCCACAGGTCCACTTCCAGCTTTTTGGTAGCTATTTGGAGAAGTTTCAGACTTCCCTGCCCAGGATGGCTTCAACCTGTGATCCTCAGATCTCAGTCTGAGTAGCTAGGATGACAGGTGTGAGCCACCGGTGCCTGGCTTCTATATAAACACACACACACACACACACAAGTATATTTATTTTTTAAAAGAGAATGGAAAGACGTGCCTGAAACCTGAGCAGCGTCTACCCCTGGTCTCTGGGTTATTTTCTTGTACCTCTGCCTTGAAACACAGATGCAAACATATGTAGGTATAGGGCTGGGAAGGTGGCCCAGTGGCAGAGCGCTTGCCTAGCATAAATGAAGCCCTGGATTTGAGTCCTCAGTACCACATACACAGAAACAGCCCCAAGTAGCGCTGTGGCTCAAGTGGTAAAACGCTTGCCTTGAATAGTGCCTAAGCCCTGAGTTCAAGCCCAAGGACAGGCAACAAACAAACATATAATAGGTATGAAGTTATTTTCAATAATTTAACATAGCACCTATGATAATACAATGCAACTGACATTTCTCAGGTTCATAGAGATCAAAAGTCAGCCTCTTTCTTTTAAATACACCGGTATCTGTAATAAACACCCTCTACCAGGCCCACGCTAGGCAGGTGCTCTGCTACTTGGCCACGCCCTCCCCCCTCTTGCTTCTCTGAAGCTAACCTTCACAGCATGGCCTCAGCCTTTGACCTGAGGCTCCCATCTCCACCTGCAGAGAGGCTGACGTCACAGTTGTGACCCCGGGATCCTTCAGGAGGAATGTTCTCCCCTCCTCTCCTGCGTCCGTGTATCTGACCGACAAGGAAACGCAGAGGGACATGTACTGTAGGGCTCTCTGGCATCCTTCTTCACAGAAGGAGAATATGCTACCTACTGGCCCTGTCGTTTGGTCACAGGCGTCTGAGAACATCCTTCCAGAACTGCTAGATTCGGAACTAGGCTACTGGGTGTGTGTGTGTGGGGGGGGGGGGGGGGGCCCAGGAGCATGTGCACACGGAATGGCGGCGGTCACCGACAGGGGGATGCCCAGACTTACTCTGAGTCCAAATGACGTCCGGTCCACGTTCCCCATTCTCCCGGGCAGTTTGGTTCCGGGCCACACTCTAGCGACATCCTGACAAGAAAACCAAAGTGAACACTACGCACACCCCCCAAGAGCCCCAGCACACCCACAACGCAGAGCGCCGCCGGCCTTCCGCCCGCAGTCGGCAGGAACGCCTTTCGGAGCTGGTGACAGACAACACTGAAGGAGCCAGCCCAACTACACCACATGGGGGGGGGGACCCAGAAAAGGGGTCAGGGGTGGGAAGTGAAACTGGCACTTAAATGACATCATGACTTTCTCATTAACCACAACCTTATTATATTTTTGTCTGTTGTGGGGCTTGAACTCTGGGCCTGGGCGCTGTCCCTCAGCTCAAGGCGAGCACTCTACCACTTGAGCCACAGCGCCACTTCCGGTTTTCTGATGTTATTGGAGGTGGTAGTCTCACAGACTTTCCTGGCTTTGAAGGGTCATCCTCAGATCTCAGCCTCCTGAGTAGCTAGGATGACAGGCGTGAGCCACTGGTGCCCAGCCACCATTTTATTTTTCACATGGAAAAGGTAAATGAGGTTTGACCAAAGAGAAGAAAAACATCAAGACACAGAATCGGGACGTCCACGGTGAAGGAAGCCTTGTGGCCACGCTCCCTGTGTCCTCTGTCCCTCGGCCCTGCCTGCCTGTGTCCCCTCCCCTCCCCTCGGCCCTGCTGAAGAGCTGGAGGATGAGGAGGGGAGGGGGCGGGGGGGCAGGATCCCCCTTCTCCCTCATACTTACCCCAGTTGAGATGGCTCCTGGTCTCCTGTGGGTTTTCGTTTGGCCGTGAGTAGCAGGTTGCCCTTTAAATCCCCATCTTTTCATAACGCCCTGAAATCCTTTTCCGATACTGAAAAACATAACCCACAAAATGGGCATAGAGACTGGTGTGGAACTGGGCGCCGGTGGCTCACGCCTGTCATCCTAGCTCCTCAGGAGGCTGAGATCTGAGGATCGTAGTTCAAAGCCAGCCAGGGCAGGAAAGTCCGTGAGACTCCTATCTCCAATGAACCACCAGAAAACCGGAAGTGGCGCTGTAGCTCAAGTGGTAGTGTTCACCTCGAGCTGAAGAGCTGAGAGACAGCGCCCGGGCCCAGAGTTCAAGCCCCATGACTGATTAAAAAAATAAAAATAAAAAACTGGGGTACAAGCACCAATAAAAGTGCGTGCCAGGTAAATTACAGCTGCTAATTGAGCTCATTTTAAGCATAAATGATTGTAAGATGAAAGCGTTAATTATCTGCCAGCTAATTACACAGCGCGTCTCGATCTTGCAGGAGAACACATCACGCGGCTGGCCCACGTGCCATGGGAACCGCTTTGGTAAATAGGCTTTTACACCAAAGATCGAGGCGGGAATGGCCCGGCAGGGACTGGCTTCGTACGGCCCGGGGGTGCCCGGTGGTGGTTGGTGGCACAGGTGGCCCGCCCACTCGTAGGTGACTTTGTGAACAGAAACACAAGGCAAACAAGGACACGAACTCCTCGGCTTCCGGAGTGCCCGGGCCATGACAGAAAAAGCCTGCTTTATAAAACCATGCACATCAGCAACACACACAGCCCCGTCTTCTTCCCTGTGCTCATGCTAGTTTTTAATTGCTGCCCACGGAGACCAATCTAATAGATGGAAACTCAAATCAGAATAGAAAACAAAACAAAAACAAAGCCGGCCACCCATGGCTCACGCCTGGCATCCTAGCTACTCAGGAGGCTGAGATCTGAGGATCGTGGTTCAAAGCCAGCCCGGGCAGAGAAGTCTGGGAGACTCTCATCTCCAACGAACTACTCAGAAAACCAGACTGATTAAAAAACAAATAAAAAAAAACTCCACCACGTGAGATATCATGGCCTTACTCAGATTTATCTGGAAATAAGGCAAGTGTTTTCTTTTTTCTTTTTGTTTGCCAGTCCTTGGGCTTGAACGCAGGGCCTGGGCGCTGTCCCTCAGCTCTTCAGCTCAAGGCGAGCGCTCTACCACTTGAGCCACAGCACCACTTTGTTTTCTGATGGTTTATTAGAGATCAGAGTCTCACGGACTTTTCTTGCCCAGGCTGGCTGTGAACCATGATCCTCAGATCTCAGCCTCCTGAGTAGCTAGGATGACAGGTGTGAGCCACCAGCACCAGCTATTTTTTTTTTTAACTTCACAAGGAAAGAGCGAGAATACAAGCACTCACGTTTTGCCGGTGACGTCCACGTACTGCCCTGGGCGGAAGTGTGCAGCGTACAGGGGCGTGCCTTTGTGGGAGAACATGGAAACAGTGGGTAAGAAGCTCGTCAGCGCACAACAGCTCTGTTAGACCAAACCTGTGGCCGGGAGGGAGGCCTACCGACACCCCACAGCCAGCGCCAGGGTGCGCTCCCGCTTCCGCAAGCGCAGACACGAGGCATGCCCGGACACAGCCAAGACCGGGACACTCTTCTCCAAGGAACCGCCAGAAAAAGCCAGAAGTCCACCAGACTCATGTCCAGTGAACCACCAGAAAACCAGAAGTGGCGCTGTGGCTCAAGTGGTAGAGCGCTAGCCTTGAGCTGAAGAGCGGAGGGACAGCACCCAGGCCCAGAGTTCAAGCCCCACAACCGACGACAACAACAACAAAAAAATCAAGATGTGTTAGTACCAAAAAGAAGGAACTGTCTACACTGCAGTGCTCACAAGCAACGCCACCAGCCTCTAGTAACTGCTACGCCTGCTGCCTGAATTCCATTCACTGCGCCCGGGGGTCATTTTGCTTTCACGTTTACAACTCAAGTTCAAAAGATCAGGGAGCATGTTTTTTTGTTTTTTGTTTTGGTCAGTCGTGGAGCTTGAACTCTGGGCCTGGGCGCTGTCCCTCAGCTCTTCAGCTCAAGGCCAGCGCTCTACCACTTGAGCCACAGCGCCACTCCCGGTTTTCTGGTGGTTCATTGGAGAGAAGATCTCACAGACTTTTCCTGCCCAGGCTGGCTTTGAACTGTGATCCTCAGATCTCAGCCTCTTGAGTAGCGAGGATGGCAGGCGTGAGCCCCGCTTGGGGAGCATTTCTGAAGCGCAAACACACAAATGTTGCCTTTTCTTTTTTTTTTCCAACTACACGGTCAAAGGTAATCATAAGCCCAGTTGCCCTTTTTGGAACTCCAGGGGCAGGCAAGAGAGTCTGGAATGTTTCCTTGGAATCTGAGCCCCCGCCTGTAACCTCTTCTGACTCACCAAGAAGAGTCTAGAAGATGAGATGAAAATGCCAACCTCCCAACAGCGAGCCCCCATCTGAGAGGTGCAAGCGTTTTCCTTTGGAGCAGCTTATTAACGTGTGAGACTGTCTCACAGCACAAACAAAAGCGCTCCTCCCTCTCCCGTGAAACACAAAGAAGCCGCCAGCCCTTCTCCCTCGGGAGAGGGAGACTTGTTGGTTCCTGGTGATTAAATTAGATGCGGGGTTGATATGTGGAAAATAAGTGTTTGGGACTTGGTGTTTTGGATTTCGCTTTTATCAGAAGGGCTGACATTAAACAAATAACAGACCTGGGTATTTCTGCCTCTCTCTGCTCTCCAACCGCAGATTACCTGGCTTAATTACAGCGTTGTCCGTGACGTGGAAGATCTTGACTTTCTCTTTGGGTGGTAATCCAAGTTGCTGGTAAAATTTCAAGACAGATGCAGGTTTCTAGAAGAAAAGGACCAAAGGTGAGGCTTTAAAATAATAAAGGTGGTGGGAGCCAGGTGCAGCCTGTCATCCTAGCTACCAGGGAGGCTGAGATCTGAGGATCGTGGTTCAAAGCCAACCCGGGCAGGAAAAGTCCATGAGACTCTTATCTCCAATAAACCACCAGTAAACTGGAAGTGACGCTGTGGCTCAAGTGGTAGAGCGCTCGCCTTGAGCTGAAGAGCTGAGGGACAGTGCCCAGGCCCAGAGTTCAAGCCCCATGACCGATGGGAAAAAATTAATAATAGTAATAAAGGTGGAGAGTTGAAACCAAGTTATTCAGAGCAGGGGAAAACACAAAAGTAAGGCATGCGTTCTTTCCTGACAGAACAAAGAGGTGAGGTTTATGCCCATCAGGAGACGTAGGGCCCAACACAGCACTTCAGCAGGAGAGCCGGGCGCCCGGGGCTCCCGCCTGTCATCCTAGCTGCTCAGGAGCCTGAGATCTGAGGACCAGGGTTCAAAGCCAGCCTGGGGCAGGGAAAAAAAAAAATCAGTGAGATGCTTCTCTCCTATGAATCACCAAAATAAACCAGAAGAGGCACTGTGACTAGCCTTGAGCAAAAAGCGGCTCAGGGACAGCGCTCAGGCCCTGAGTTTAAGGCCCAGGACCGGCACAAACTAGCACACAAAAACCAAGAAACAACAACAAACCAACCCCAGAGCACTGGTGAAGAGCTTAGTTTTCTGGGGAAGGAGAGAGCTGTGCCCGCGCCCCAGTGCCCGTTATCAACCATTCCCACCCCACCGCACCCCCTGCAGGCCTCTGCGCATGCCCCAGACACGGCACAGCCCGCCCTGCTCCCAGCTGTCCCTCTGCCCCCTTGTGTCCACAGACGCCCAGCCCTCTCTCCTCTGGAGATGTGTGCCTCCCAGGGTCTAGTTGGGATCTAGGCATCAGGGTTTTTTTCTGAAATCATCCAACAGAGGCTGGGCATTATGGTGGCGGGGGTAGGCTGCCCACGCTCCTTCTGAAAGCACCCTCGCCCTCTTGCTTACATAATGTGCCAAGCCCTCTGGGGTGTGACCCCAGGTCCTTTGCACAGGCTGCTGCCACTGTGCTCTTCCGGCCAGGGCTTGCTTCCTGACCTAGTGAGGTCCAGTCTAATGATCAACTTGGCGGTTTCCAGTTACTCTAAAAGAAGAGGACCGCTTTTGCTGTCCTCCTCCCTAGGGCTTTCTGAAGCCCCGGACTACTTTTCTTTTTGTCAGTCATGGGGCTTGAACTCTGGGTCTGGGCACTGTCCCTCAGCTCTATAACTTGAGCCACAGCGCCACTTCCGGTTTCCTAGTGGTTTTATTGAAGACTCTCACAGACGGGGCTGGGAAGGTGGCTCAGTGGTAGAGTGCTTGCCTTGCATGCATGAGGCCCTGGGTTCAATTCCTCAGCACCACATAAGCAAAAAGAAAAAAAGCCGGAAGTGGCACTGTGGCTCAAGTGGCAGAGCGCTCGCCTTGAGCTGAAGAGCTAAGGGACAGCGCCCAGGCCCAGAGTTCAGGTTCCACGACCGGACCAAAAAAAAAAAAAGACTCTCACAGACTTTCCTGCCCAGGCTGGCTTTGAACCGTGATCCTCAGATCTCAGCCTCCCGAGTAGCTAGGCTGACAGGCGTGAGCTACGGATGCCCGGCTCCCAGTCTACTTTTCTTGCCACTGCAAACATCACCACAACTGTGTCCTGGAAGCAAAACTTCAGACAAGCCTCCCGTCTGCTCCAAACTTCCACCACACACAGAAACACAACCTGCCCAAAGAGATAGGCGCTGTTCTCCATTTCCCAACATGAGGAGGCCCACCCAACCCCCACGGGAACACTCCTCACCCCACCCCCCAACGCGGGGCCTGAGCCGGGAGAAAAACCCACACGTGCCAGACAGAAGCCAGCCGACTTTAATGAAGAACTCTCTACCATCAATCTGTTCAGTGTTTTCCTGAAAGTTAAAATACACAAAGGGAGGGCCTGGGAAGGTGGCTCAGTGGTAGAGTGCTTGCCTCAAGTGCATGAGGCCCTGCGTTCGATTCCTCAGCACCACATAAGCAGAAAAGGCTGGAAGTGGTGCTGTGGCTCAAGTGGTAGAGCACTAGCCTTGAGCTGAAGAGCTGAGGGACAGCGCCCAGGCCCAGAGTTCAAGACCCATGACCCACAAAAAAAAAAAAAAAAAAAATACACAAGGGGAAGTTGGGAGACTTGTGGCTCAGGGATGGAGCATCGGGTCTCATGTTGGCAAGTTCCTGTATGTCTGCACTTCCCTCTTGTCTCTAATAGTCTGCTCACCAAGGAAGAGTTCATGACTCACACAAGACCCGGGGTCCAGATTCACAGCATAACAACATAGCACCCAAACAGCCATACTCAAGGTGGATGAACCACCAACAAGCCCCAAGTGCATGCAGCCTGTGGCTCAAGTAGTTAGCCTTGAGAGGAAAGCTTAGTGAGCGCACCTAGGCCCTAGTTCAAGTCCCAGTACTGGCACCAAAACCAATGAAACAAAACTGCTGGGCAGCAGTAGCTCACACCTGTCATCCGAGCTACGCAGGAGAACAAGATCTGAGGACTGAGGTTCAAAGCCAGCCTGGGCAGGAAAGCCCGTGAAGAGTCTTCTCTCCAACTTCCAAAAGGGCAGGAAGTGGCACTGTGGCTCCAGTAGTAGAGTGCTAGCTTTGAACAAAAGCAGCTCAGGGACAGCGCAGGCCCTGAATCCAAGCCCCAGGACTGGTACCAAAAAACATACAAACAAAAAACCCCGCAATGACAGAAAACCATCTATGGAGCCCCATAACAAAGAAAACCATCCATGGAGTCCTGTGACAAAGAAAACCATCCATGGAGTCCTGTGACAAAGAAAACCATCCATGGAGCCCTGTGACAAACTGAGTAAATGCCACCCTCACCGCCTCACAGGCGGACTAGTGCTAGAGCTTTGGCAGGTGCTGTGGCTTGCTCCAGACAGAGAAGCCGGTGCTGGAACAATCCAAGCGTCACAGACCCCTGGGCAGAACGGCTCTCTGCACGGCCTCCCCCCACTGACGGCGACAGAACCGTCTCAGAGCCACAAACCGCGCAGATCTCCAACCTACGGCTGGAGGGACAGAAGCGCGTCCTTACACGGAAGCGGGACACAGTCTTCCCTCCGACGGTCAGGGCCGCCATCTTGCCATTGTGATCTTCCTTCGAAATATATTTTAGGACATGACAGTCTTGAACCTGAAACAAACAAACCAAAAAATCCCACTGAGCCTGGGCCCAGACGCGCAGAGCTGGGCCCCCACTCAGACCCCCCGCTGCGTACCTGCAGCAACGTGACCACATGCTTCCGCCCGTCTTTGGTCCACAGGGGCATCATGCCCAGCTTCAGGGCGATCACACCGACTCGCGAAGAACCTGGGGATTCAAGCCGACGCTCCTTGAACGTGTGCCAACCCCAGGCAAGGCTTTCCTACATTAGTGTTTCCGATCTGAGTGAGAGTAGGCCTAGAAGAAGTTGCAGCTAGCCGGGCGCTGGTGGCTCACGCCTGTCATCCTAACTACTAGGAAGGCTGAGAGCTGAGGATCGCGGTTCAAAGCCAGCCCGGGCAGAAAATCCATGAGACTCTTTTTTTTTTGTTTTTGTTTTTTGGGTCCGGTCGTGGGTCTTGAACTCTGGGCCTGGGCGCTATCCCTCAGCTCTTTAGCTCAAGGCTAGCGCTCTACCACCTGAGTCACAGTGCCGGCTTTTTTCTTTTGGCTTATGTGGTGCTGAGGAATCGAACCCAGGGCCTCAGGCATGCAAGGCAAGCGCTCTACCACTGAGCCACCTTCCCAGCCCATCCATGAGACTCTTATCTCCAGCTAGCCACCAGAAAACCAGAAGTGCTGGGGCTCAAGTGGTAGAGCACTTTGCCTTGAGCTGAAGAGTGCAGGGACAGTGCCTAGGCCCAGAGTTCAAGCCCCACAACCACCACCAACGACAACAAAAAAAAGAAGTTGCAGCTCAAGTGGTGGAATGCTAGACTTGGGGATAGTGCCTAGGCCCTAAGTACCAGCCCTAAGGCTGACTCTCTCTCTCTCTCTCTCTTACACACACACACACACACACACACACACACACACACACACACACACACACACACTAAAGCAAAACCAACTGTCTTCAACCATGCCTAGTGTAATACACTGACGGCTCAATAAACACCAAATCATCAAATCAAACAAGTGGAAAAGAACTATACAACATTTTAAAAAAGTGGATAAATTAATTCATGCCAGCTTTAGCAGTTTCTGAGTGTCGGCGGCTCACACCTATAATCCTAGCTACTCAGGAGGCTGAGACTTGAGAATCTAGAATCAAAACTGGCTAGAGCACGTAACCTCTGTGAAGACTATCTTCAACCAGCAAAAAGCTGGATGGAGAGCTGTGGCTCAGGCGGTAAGACTGCCGCCCTTGAGTGAAAAAGCTCAGGGTCACAGCATCTAGGCCCTGGGTTCAAGCCCTAGTACTGACATAAAATAAATGCAACAGATAAATCAATACATATCAGTTTTAAGATAATAGTGCAATCTAGGGCCCAGACACCCATCATTATGCTTTTCCCAGATCAAGTTAGGTCCAACAATATCAGAAAACACCATCTGCTCCAATTCCAAGCCGGGACTACAGAGATGCTATGGAGGAGAAAGCTAAAATGCCGGCGACCATGGTGACGTTCAGACTTGTTGGCTAAACTGACAACATCTACCTAGCCGAGATCCCAATTTAGCCTCTCCTTTCCCGTCTCATTTTACATTGTTTTAATGTCACACGAGAAAATGTACCCAGATCAATTCTTCTCTCATCTACAAAACGTTTTCTCAAGGTGTTTTATCTTTAGTTAAACAGTGGAGGGAGGAAAAAAAAATCTTGCGGCCAGCTGGCTGACAGTGGCTTGTTCACGGTTTGAAATCTGCCCGGAGAGGAATAGTCTGTGAGAGTCTATCTTCAATTAACCGGCAATAAACAGACTGGAGAAATGGCGCAAGCGGTAAGAGTGCCAACCAAGCAAAAAAAAAGCCAAGCTAAGCCGGGGGTCAGTGGCTCACGCCTGTCATCCTAGCTACTCAGGAAGCTGAGATCAAGGTTCAAAGCCAGCCCAGGCAGGAAAGTCCGTGAGACTCTCATCTCTAATAAACCACCAGAAAACCAAAAGTGGTGCTGTGGCTCAAGTGGTAGAGCGCTCGCCTTGAGCTGAAGAGCTGAGGGACAGTGCCCAGGCCCAGAGTTCAAGACCCAGGACTGACATACACTTCAGGATACAAAAATTCACAAAGTGAATGTTTTATCTGTCACTATGCTTTTCAATGTGTCCAGCCACGCAGAAACTGGGTGAAGATAACGAATTAAACACAGAACCCCTTACCTGGCTCCCAAGGATGTATAGGCCAGGGTTCATCTTTCAGAGGGCTCAGTTTACTTGCTAACTGAGCTTCATTTTCTTCCGAGACCAACTGCTTGACGAAGGAGGCATTTTCTTCCGAAAGATGCTCGTCCCACCAAGTTGGACTCCGGCTGTGGAGAGTTCGAACCCCAAGCCAGGCGTCGGATCTGAAAAGAAAATCAAGCCAGTCATCATTCCTGCATAGGGCCCCGCGCTTGGCGTTTGTGTCCTGAAGGCCTCAGGAAGAGGTCTGGGTTGCGTATAAGCTTTTCTTCCCAGCTAACATTTCAACGACAGAGGAAAAGTGTCATCTCCTCCTCTGGGATAAACGGATTTCTCCGTCATCTTGCCTGAATGCAGGGGAGGCCACTAACGTCCTGACACACACAGAACCTCTGTAGGGCCGGGCGCCGGTGGCTCACGCCCCTCATCCTAGCTACTCAGGAAGCTGAGGCCTAAGGATCGTGTTCAAAGCCAGCCCTGGGCAGGAGCGTCCGTGAGACTCTCATCTCTCATGAACCACCAGAAACACCGCAAGTGGTGCTGTGGCTCAAGGGGTAGAGCGCCATCCTCGGGGTTCCTAGATGTGGCAAGAACGGCAGCCCCCGGGCCCTGAGTTCGAATCCGAGGGCTGGCACAGAGTAAAAGGAAATAGAAAATCAAACAACAACAACAACAAGACCCCAAACCTCCCGCAGCTCCTCGGCGGGTGATTCCTTCACTTCTGTTTCCGGGTCCCCTCGTCTTGTCAAAACTCCCTTTCCTTCCCCTGGCGGGGCCTTGTTTCCCGCGCGGCCTGCCGCGGCGCCGGCCGCGCACCCCCGCACCCCGGCCCGGCCCGGGTCCCCACCTGCTGCGGCTCGGGCCCGGGCCGCCGCGCAGGCCGCGCGGGCGCCGCCGCCGAGCGCCTGGGCCCCCGGCCCGCGCCAGCAGCCGCCAGGCCGGCATGGCGCGTGCGCGGAGGCCGCGGCGCGCGTGCGCGCGCCACACACGCCACACACACACACACACACACACACACACGCGGGGCGCGGACGCGGCCCCTCCGCGCCTCCCACGGACGGCCCCCGCGCGCCGGCCGCCTGCCCGCCGAGCGCCTCCGCGGCGGAAGTACAGCCGCCGAGCCACTTCCGGTACGCCCCTCAAAACGGGTCCGTGGCGCCTGCCGTCGACCCCCCCCCCAAGAACTAGGGTTCCGCTTCCGAAAGGGTCCTGCTGTGTGTTCGGGACCTCCACCATCTCCTTCCTTCCCTCCTTCCTTCCCTCCTTCCTTCCTTCCTTCCTTCCCTCCTTCCTTCCTTCCTTCCCTCCTTCCCTCCCTCCTTCCTTCCTTCCCTCCTCCTTCCTTCCTTCCTTCCTTCCTTCCTTCTCCCTCCCTCCCTCCCTCCTTCCCTCCTTCCTTCCTTCCTTCCTTCCTTCCTCCCTCCCTCTCCCCCTCCCTCCCTCCCTCCTTCCTTCCTTCCTCCCTCCCTCCTTCCTTCCCTCCCTCTTTCCTTCCTTCCCTCCTTCCTTCCTTCCTTCTTCCTTCCTTCCTCCACCTCTCCTTCCTCCCTCCCTTTCCTCCCCTCCCTCCTCCTCCTTCCTTCCTTCCTTCCTTCTTCCTCCCTCTCCCCTCTCCCTCCCTCCCTCCCTCCTTCCTTCCTTCCCCTCCTTCCTTCCTTCCATCCTTCCTTCTCCCTCCCCCTCCCTCCTTCCCTCCTTCCTTCCTTCCTTCCTTCCTTCCTTCCTTCCTCCCTCCCTCCCTCTCCTCCCTCCCTCACGTCCTTCCTTCCTTTCCTCCTTCCTTCCTTCCTTCCTTCCTTCCTCCCTCCCTCTCCCCCTCCCTCCTCCCCTCCTTCCTTCCTTCCTCCCTCCCTCCTTCCTTCCCTCCCTCTTTCCTTCCTTCCCTCCTTCCTTCCTTCCTTCTTCCTTCCTTCCTCCCTCTCCTTCCTCCCTCCCTTTCCTCCCTCCCTCCCTTCTCCTTCCTTCCTTCCTTCTTCCCTCCCTCTCCCCTCTCCCTCCCTCCCTCCCCTCCTTCCTTCCTTCCTTCCTTCCTTCCTTCCTTCCTTCCTTCCTTCCCTCCTTCCTTCCTTCCCTCCTTCCTTCCTTCCTTCCCTCCTTCCTTCCTCCCTCCTTCCTTCTTCCTTCCTTCCCTCCTTCCTTCCTTCCTTCCTTCCTTCTCCCTCCCTCCCTCCCTCCTTCCCATCCTTCCTTCCTTCCTTCCTTCCTTCCTTCCTTCCTCCCTCCCCCTCTCCTCCCTCCCTCACTCCTTCCTTCCTTTCCTCCTTCCTTCCTTCTTCCTTCCTTCCTCCCTCCCTCTCCCCCTCCCTCCCTCCCTCCTTCCTTCCTTCCTCCCCCTCCTTCCTTCCCTCCCTCTTTCCTTCCTTCCCTCCTTTCCTTCCTTCCTCCTTCCTTCCTCCCTCCCTCCCTCCTCCCTCTCCTTCCTTCCTTCTTCCTTCCCTCCCTCCCTCCCTCCTTCCTTCCTTCCTTCCTTCCTTCCTTCCTTCCTTCCTCCCTCCCTCCCTCCTCCCTCCTTCCCTCCCTCCCTCCTTCCTTCCTTCCTTCCCTCCCTCTCTCCCCCTCCCTCCTCCCTCCCTCCCTCCTTCCTCCCTCCCTCCCTCCCTCTCCTCCCTCCCTCACTCCTTCCTTCCTTCCCTCCTTCCTTCCTTCCTCCCTCCCTCTCCCCCTCCCTCCCTCCCTCCCTCCCTCCCTCCTTCCTTCCTTCCTTCCTCCTTCCTTCCTCCCCTCCCTCCCTCTCCCCCTCCCTCCCTCCCTCCCTCCCTCACTCCTTCCTTCCTTCCCTCCTTCCTTCCTTCCTTCCTTCCTTCCTCCCTCCCTCTCCCCCTCCCTCCCTCCCTCCTTCCTTCCTTCCTCCCTCCCTCCTTCCTTCCCTCCCTCTTTCCTTCCCTCCCTCCTTCCTTCCTTCCCTCCTTCCTTCCTTCTTTTTTCCTTCCTCCCTCTCCTTCCTCCCTCCCTCTCATTCCTCCCCTCCCTCCCTCCTTCCTTCCCTCCCTCCTTCCTTCCTTCCCTCCTTCCTTCCTTCCTTCTTCCTTCCTTCCTCCCTCTCCTTCCTCCCTCCCTTTCCTCCCTCCCTCCCTCCTTCCTTCCTTTCCTTCCTTCTTCCCTCCCTCTCCCCTCTCCCTCCCTCCCTCCCTCCTTCCTTCCTTCCTTCCTTCCTTCCTTCCTTCCTCCCTCCCTCTCATTCCTCCCTCCCTCCCTCCCTCCTTCCTTCCCTCCCTCCCTCCTTCCTTCCTTCCCTCCTTCCTTCCTTCTTCCTTCCTTCCTCCCTCTCCTTCCTCCCTCCCTCCCTCCCTCCTTCCTTCCTTCCTCCCTCCCTCTCATTCCTCCCTCCCTCCCTCCCTCCTTCCTTCCCTCCCTCCCTCCTTCCTTCCTTCCCTCCTTCCTTCCTTCTTCCTTCCTTCCTCCCTCTCCTTCCTCCCTCCCTCCCTCCCTCCTTCCTTCCTTCCTCCCTCCCTCCCTCTCCTTCCTCCCTCCCTCCTTCCTTCCCTCCCTCCCTCCCTCCCTCCTTCCCTCCTTCCCTCCTTCCTTCCTCCTTCCCTCTCCTTCCTTCCCTCCCTCCCTCCCTCTCTCCTTCCCTCCTTCCCTCCTTCCTTCCTTCCCTCCCTCCTTCCTTCCTTCCTTTCCCCTGTAGATATTTGTATTTCATCTTGCTTTTCCTAAATGTTTGGAGTTTAAACTTTAGAAGAATGAGGTAAACAAGGCAGGAGGGGACAGGATTCCTAAAGAAGTTAAAGATCATTAACCCACCCTAGGGAAACCTGTGCTACGCAGGCTTTCCTATTTTTATATTGATGAATCAATCCTCACAGCCAATGAAAGCAGGTTGTTTGATTTATACCATAAACAAGGGAACACATACTTAGAATCTAGGTGCAACATATGTGTAACTGATGGACAGTTTTGGCACCAAAACAGGTGGCATGTGTTGATATATATATATATATATAAAACATACATGTATATAATATATATTATATATGATGGGGTTCCTCGTGTTGAGTCCCAATTTATTACAACCAAAAAGACTAAGGTCTTCTACTTATTCAGGAGGCTGAGACCTGAAGGATCTCGTTCAAAGCCAGCCCATGCAGGGGGGAAGAAAAACAATAACAATAACATGAGAAACCAGCAAAGCGTGGAATCGTGGCTCAAGTGCAGAACACCAGCCTAAAGAAAGCCCAGAAGAGCTTGAGGGTTTGGAGTTCAAACCCTGGGACTGCAGAAGAAGAGAAGAGAAAAGAGTGTGCTTTTCCTAATGAACATTCCCTGTCACTTTCCCCGTCTTCCTATCTTACCTGAGATTTTTTTTTTCTTTTTCCATTGCAAGATGGTTAGGACCAAGGTTGATCATTGAGTTGACTTTTCAATTAGCCAGCCAGGCAGAGCTCAGGTATTCCTTAAGCCCTGGGTTCAAATTCCTCAGTGCCACATAAGCAGAAAAAGCCAAAAGTGGCTCTGTGGCTCAAGTGGTAGAGGGCTCGCCTTGAGCTGAAGAGCTGAGGGACAGCGCCCAGGCCCAGAGTTCAGGCCCCACGACTCACCTCCGCCACCCCCCAAAAAAGTATTGGAGTTTAAATTCAGGGCTTTGAACCTGTTAGGTAAGAAATCTACCACTGGAGTTATGCCCGTAGCCCTTTATTTCATTGGTTATCTCCAGACAAGGTCTTGTAATTATGTACGAGTAGGTCTGATCAGTGATCCTCCCTCCTACTTACGCGTCCTGCATAGACAGGGTGACAGGTGTGTGCTAACACACCCAGCTTTATTGGTTGAGATGGAATTTCATGATGGTTGTCCTCTGTCAGGCCTGAACTGTAATCTTCCAGACCCCATATCCTGAATAGGTAGGATGATAGGTTTTAGTGACTATATCCAGCTCAGCCTCTGTTTCCCTCCTCCTCATCTCCCGCCCCCCTCCCCAAACTGCACCAGTCCTGGGGTTTGAACTTAGGGCAGTACACTTGACTTGGCTTGCTCACACATGACAGATCCTCTATCATTTGAACCACATTTCCAGCCAGGTTTTTTTTTTTGGGGGGGGGGGGAAGTGGTCAATCAGGGGGCTTGAACTCTGGACCTGGGCGCTGTCCCTGAGCTTTTCAGCTCAAGGTGAGCACTCTACCACTTGAGCCACAGTGCCACTTCCAGTTTTCTGGTGGTTTATTGGAGATAAGAGTCTCATGGACTTTCCTGTCCGGGCTGGCTTTGAACTGTGATCCTCAGATCTCAGCCTCCTGAGTAGCTGGGATGACAGGTGTGAGCCACCAGTGCCCGGCTTCCAGCCAGGTTGTTGTATGAGTTTTTTTCTTTGATGGTTGGTTCTGAGATGGAGTCCTGCAGAGATCTTTCACATTGCTCAGTCTCCTGAGCAGCTAGTATTATAGATGTGAGCCCCAGTGCCTGGCTCCAGTCCCCTCTCTATTATTAGAGATCTCGATGTGTTGGCCCACGAGGTCTGAGTAAGGGCCCATTTCTGGCTACGGTGTCTACTTCAGTCTACTTTAGTCTTTCATTGGTGGCACTGGGGTTTGGGTAGAAGACCTGAGGCTTATAAAGCAAGCATTTTACCATTTGAACCATGCTACTCGTCCTTTCTTTTTTTTGCCATAGTTCATTTCTTGGATAGAGTCTGACTTTTTTTTTTTTTTTTTTGTCCATTGTGGGTCTTTGGGCGCTGCTTCTCAGCTCTTCAGCTCAAGGCAAGCGCTCTACCACTTGAGCCACAGCACCACTTCCGGCTTTTTTCTGCTTATGTGGTGCTGAGGAATCGAACCCAGGGCCTCATGCATGCAAGGCAAGCGCTCTACCACTGAGCCACCTTCCCAGCTCCAGTCATTTATTTCATTGACTTAATTCTGACCAGGGCCAGCCTCTAACTGCAATCCTCTTTTCTCTACCTCTCAGATGCATAGCTTGGGTGACAGGTACCCCTCCCTCCTCGCCATTCCTGACTTGTTCTTTGAGAAAGGGTCTTGCCAAATTCCCTTCCACAGGAGGAGGATGGGGCCGGGGGGGGGGGGGGGGTTGTGTATGGGGAGAAACTGGTGGTCTCCGAATGTGGTTCTCCTAAGCTTGACTTCCCAAGTGCCTGGGATTACAGGCGTGAGGCGCGGCATCGTGTCTGGCTTTTTCTGTAGCAGGGCAGACACGTACTTAGAAGAGGAAACTTACCTTGAAATGTACTGAGCAACTGACCTCAATCTCCCTTTCCAGCTGGGCAGGGGGTCACGCAGTGACCGAATTTTCCTCCAGCTGTGCTCTTTAGCATCACCATGGCAACTCGCCCAGCTATCCCGCTGAGCGGAGACAGGATTCCCTTAGTAACTGCAGAGCCTGGGAGATGTTGCTTAAAATAATCATATATATATATATATATATTTTTTTTTTTTCTGCCAAGGCAGAAATGCCTTTACAGCTTTATTAAGCATGAAACATCCTGGGGGGAACACAGATTTCTCTTTCATTTTCTTTCCAAAGAAATAAGGCTTGAATATCCAACCAAGGCTTAAATGTTGTCTTCACCCTAGAAAGCACACTCAAGATAGAGTAGGAGACTCCTGAGACTCCCACCCCGGTCTGGGAATGCCGCCGCTGGTCAGTATTATATAAATTACCTTCAAATAGAACAAGCGATCACTTGGTTGAAACCACTTCGTCTAAATCGCTTTTTCTCTTCCCTATAGAAGTCTCAGCAGTCTCTCTGTCGGGAAGAGAGTTCTGCCTCTCAAGAGTTCAAACCCATGGCCAGGCACCAGTGGCTCATGCCTGTCATCCTAGCTACTCAGGAGGCCAAGGTCTAAGGATCAGGGTTCGAAGCTGGCCCGGGCAAGGAAAGTCTGTGAGACGCTGTATCTCCAGTAAACCACTCAGAAAAAGCCAGAAGTGGCTCTGTGGCTCAAGTGGTAGAGCGCTAGCCTTGAACACAAAGAGGTTCAGGGACAGCCCAGGCCCTGAGTTCAAGCTCCAGGACTGGCAAAAAAAAAAAAAAAAAAAAAGTCAAACACATGAACTGTTGAACCTGACAGTTTTTTCTTACATGCCTCTCTTCCCCCACCCTCATATTTGTAAGAAAAACCCAGCATTCCTAACTTCCTGAAATCTTCGAAGTGAAGGTTGCACAACTCTGAAAATCTGCTAAAAACGATTCAACTGCATATGCTAGAAGAATGGTTTTTCTTTTCTATTTTGGTACCTGTCCTGGGGCTTGAACTCAGGGCCTGGGCACTGCCCCTGAGCCTTTGTGCTCAAGACTAGCACTCGATCACTTGAGCCACAGCTCTACTACCGGCTTTTTGTTGGTTTCTTTCCTGCCCAGGCTGGCTTTGAACCGCAATCCTCAGATCTCAGCCTCCTGAGTAGCTAGGATGACAGGCGAGAGCCACCAATGAATGCCTGGCCATTATCATGTTTTATATGACATGCTACCATGTACAATAGGCTGTGGATTGACCTAAATACTGTAAAGATGTTATCCCCTGACATCTTCATAAGTGTTCTAAGAAGCAGACGCCACTACCTCCATTATACAGATAAGGAAACCGAGGCTCAGGAAAGACAATGAAATCTCCGCTCACTAGGGACCATTATCTCTGCCTGACACAGAAGCTGGTTGTACTCACAGTCAGTCTGCTCTGTTTTGAGGAATCAAACCAGTCCCTTCTCAGGGTCAGGGTTAGATGCACTTCTGAGTGGGAGCCAGTTGGGCAGGCAGAATGGCCTCTCTGTGATGATCAGTTGGATCTGAAGATATGAACAGCCAAAAGCAGACAGAATGTGCTGGGAGTTTCTCTGCCCTGACTCTCTTGAATTAGAGAAATATAAATATATAGATAAAGTCACTTCCATTTTCACTTGCTTCCTATTAATCTCTAAGCGAACGAGTTGAGATTATGAAGTGATTTCCCCACCCCAACCCTGCCTCCTCCCCCCGGCCTAACCTGATCGCTGTGGAGAGGCTTGTACTATTCCACACTGCAGTCCACTTGGGGGTTGACATTTGGGGTTCTGATTGCTTTTCATGGGGGTCCTGTGAGTCTTAATATTGCCAAGGATTTACCTCGGTGCTCATGAATGCAGGATGTGCTTTTTATTTTTATTTATTTTTTTTACTTTTTAAAAATCCTTTTTATGGGATGGAGGCAAAAAATAAAAGGTCAGTATGCATAACGGAACCAATGATCTTCCTTTCTTTTGTGTTTTGTTTTGGAATACACCAAACCTTCTAACCACCAGAAGAAAAGACAACTGTTTCTTAGAAATGTTACCCCATTGTGTAGACAAAACGATAAATATAATACTACGTATATATAGGTCCAAGCTGGCTTTGAATTATGATCCTCAGATCTCCATCTCCTGAGTAGCTAGAACTACAGACGTGAGCCACCAGCACCCAGTGAGAACCTAAATATATATATATATATATATTATTAAATATATATATATTTAATAATATATATATTAAACAGTGATGGGGCTTGAACTCTGGGCCTGGGCACTGTCCCTGAGCTTCTTTGTCTCAAGGTGAATGCTCTACCACTTGAACCACAGCGCCACTTTCGGTTTTCTAGTAGTTTATTGCAGATGAGAGTCTCACGGACTTTCCTGCTTGGGCTGGCTTTGAACTACGATCCTCAGATCTCAGCCTCCAGAGTATCTAGGGTGACAGGTGTGAGCCACCAGCGAGAACCTAAATATTTTAACTCCTTGTTTGTTGGAAGCAATGATGACGATGTGTTCCCTCAGCACGGAGAAAGAACTATTCCTAATCTGAAACAAGTCTCCCCCACGCCACACATAGCCCTGTCAGGAAAGAGGAACAAGGTCAGGACGCTTAGGAAATAATTCTGTAAGTACCCAATTTATTCATAAAACAATACATGTGAAATAGTTACGATTTATTTTCCCCAATCATACACTTCTTTAAAAAAAAAAACAACAACAAACCATCATTCCCCAAATGTTGTCCATTTGGTTGACATGTATTTGCAAGATTAAGATCTGTAATTATAACTCTGGAGATTACACAAGGTCTTTGATTGGATGACGAAAACTGTTCCCACCCACACCAGCAAACGAACGAACAGATTTATTTTGCCTAGTGATTTATTCTACCATCTCTCTAACCAAAAAAAAAAAAATTAAATAAATAAAAGGTTTCCAGTGTGCGCCTTTTATGCTGGCAAAGCAATTGTGAATTTCTCTGAAAGAAGAATTTTCGGTGTTTTATTTTTTAAACAAATAAAACGCTTAGGTAATTTGCGTGCGTGATTAAGTGGTAGGGCCGAATCGCTAGGTGGATAGACTTTTAGAGCAGAGAAACCTTCCTTCACAGGGAGGATCGAGAAATTAAAAACTGCTGGAACAGTGTAAGGATTTTATTATTATTATTATATTATTGTTCTTATTGAATATTATTATCATGATTATTTTAAACATGCAAAATACAGTCCATGCAGCTGCCTTGTGTTTTTGAAGTGTCTTGTCCCCTAGCAGATAAAACCAAGTATGTTTGTTATTATTAATATTATTAATTATTGGCTGTCAACATTCGGTAAATGTTTCAAAATGCTTTACAGTGTAAAGGTAATAAGAAATTTAGCAAAATTTCAACAAACCTGTATAAAAAAACGGATACATGGTACCATTTTTTTTTTTTTTTTGGTTGGTCGTGGGGCCTGAACTCTGGGCCTGGGCGCTGTCCCTCAGCTCTTCAGCTCAAGGCTAGCGCTCTACCACTTGAGCCACAGCGCCACTTCCAGCTTATGTGGTGCTGAGGAATCGAACCCAGGGCCTCATGCATGCAAGGCAAGCACTCTACCACTGAGCTACCTTCCCAGCCCCCATGGTACCTATTTTTTAAATCTCAAGGCGACATGCTGAAAAGACTTATGTGGTATTTCTTTGTAAAAAGGTCTTAGATAATCCAAGAGTGGAGCCGATCTAGGCCTTTGGACTACACATGCAAAAGGAAAAGGAAAACAAACAAAAAAACATTAAGTTAGTTAAAAATCGCCAAAACGTGCTATTTTTTAAATGTGTATTATTGTTGTCATTATAATTATAATAATAATAATTATTATTAACGATTATTTTAAGTAGAGGAGAAGTATTGAATCTTAGCCGGGAGCCGGATTCCAGAACTCTGGGAAGGTGGGTGGGGTTCACGGGGCTAGCGTCCTGGAGGATTCGTAGACTTCCGACGAGCATTTTGGTTTGATGCCTTTGCCATTATAATAGTCCACGACTTGGTTTGGAACTTCAGCCAATACGCTTTTAGCCAGGGCAGCCGGAGATGCCTGGTGGGAGTGCGAGAAGAAAAAACGCAGCTCTGATCCTTCCTTCCTTCCCTCTCTTCCTTCTCTTCCCTCCCTCTCTCCCTCTCTCCCTCCCTCCCTCCCTCCTTCCTTCCTTCCTTCCTCCCTCCCTCCCTCTTTCTTTGCCAGTCCTGGAGCTTGAACTCAGGGCCTGGGTACTATCCCCGAGCTTCTTTTGCTCAAGGCTAGCACTCTACCACTTGAGCCACAGCACCACTTCGGGCTTTTTCTGTTTCTGTGGTACTGAGGAATGGAACCCAGGGCTTCATGCATGCTAGGCAAGCACTCTACCACTAAGCTGCACTCTTGGGCCTCTGATTCTTGGTTAAAGGAACCTGTGAAGAACCTACTCAGAACCTGTTCTGAGTAGCTGGTCCCACGCAGAAATGCGTTCATCTATTCATTCTCTACCCAGTTGAGCCAGGTGCTGGTGGCTCACGCCTATAATCCAAGCTACTGCTGTTTTTCATTAAATCAGTCTAATTTATTCCTGCTTTTTTTCCATCACTGATCATATAAAAATACTTAATATATACATATACAGATATATATATATATATTTCTTTAAACCAGCTTTCTTCATCTTGCTTATGAGAGTTAAACAAATCTTTTTTGTTGTTGCTGTCGGTCCTGAGGCTTGAACTCTGGGCCTGGGCGCTGTCCCTCAGCTCTTCAGCTCAAGGCGAGCACTCTACTGCTTAAGCCACAGCGCCACTTTCAGTTTTCTGAGTGGTTTACTGGAGATAAGAGTCTCATGGACTTTCCTGCCCAGGCTGGCTTTGAACCGTGATCCTCAGATCTCAGCCTCCTGAATAGCTAGGATGACAGGCGGGAGCCACCAGTGCCCGGCCAAATCTTTGATTTTTGTTTACTATATACTTATGGAGCATTTCGGTTTTACCGTTTTTGTTTTTTGTTTTTCAGTACTGGGATTTGAACTCATGTACCTGCTAGGTGGGTACTTTACCCTAAGCCTTTAGCTCTTTTGACATTGGTTAATTTTGGGAAGATAGGGTCCCTTTTCCTGCCATATTGTGTTTTGATCTGCCTATTTTTTTGGTTTCCCATCGTTGCTGTGATAAATGACAGGCACTAGCACACCCAGCCTCTTTCTGTTGAGATGAAGTCTTGTGGATTTTCCTGTCTAGGCTGGCTTTGAAATCGTGATCCTACCATTCTGAGACTCTCAAGGAACAAGGGATTTATAGACATGAAGACTAATCCCAGGCTGATGTTTTATCATCTCAAAAACATACTGTGTCACCAGGCACCAGTGGCTCATGCCTGTCACCCTAGCTCCTCAGGAGGCTGAGATCTGAGGATCACGGTTCAAAGCCAGCCCGGGCAAGAAAGACTGTGAGACTCTTATCTCCAATAAACCACCAGAAAATTGGAAGTGCGCTGTGGCTCAAGTGGCAGAGAGCCCGCCTTGAGCTGAAGAGCTGAGGGACAGTGCCCAGGCCCTGAGTTCCAGCCTCAGCTCACAAGCCAGGCGCTAGTGGCTCACGCCTGTCATCCTAGAGACTCAGGAGGCTGAGATCTGAGGACTGAGGTTCAAAGCCAGCCCAGGAAGGGAAAATCTATGAGATTACCTATTCCCTCCCCCTCCCCCGTCCCCTCCCCCCCAAAAAGCTGGGCGTGCTGCTGTGGCTCAAGTGGTAGAGTGCTCGCCTTGAACACAAAAGTTCAGGGACAGCGCCCAGGCCCTGAGTTTAAGCCTCAGGACCGATACAAACCAACCAACAAACAAACCCCAAACAGAAGGCAGGGCACGACACACACTGGAGAGCCTGGGCTCTCCTCCCTGAGGGGCACCTCGCGCACACGTACGTGTTTGAAGTTCCTGAAGGGCACAAACTGCACGATGTCCCGCAGCACGGGCTCCCCTTTGGGCGACCTGAGGATGCCATCGTCGCCGTCCAACATCTGCATGTCACTGAAGTCGGCGTTGCCCACGCCCACGATGATGACCGACATGGGCAGGTGGGAGGCGTGGACGATGGCCTCCCGCGTGTCGGCCATGTCTGTGATCACGCCGTCCGTCAGGATCAGCAGGATGAAGTATTGCTGCAGGCCGGGAGTCGGTGTGTGTTGGGGGGGGAGACAAGGACGAGGTGATGGCAGTTAGGGTGGTAGGCTCCATGGGTGTGCTGGGATCCCCGGAAGGCTCGAGGAAGGGAGGAAAGGGGGTGGGGGTGGGGGCTGGGTGGGCACAGCTTCCTCCTGTGCTGTCGCCAAAGCACAGGGAGAAATGGCAAGACTCAGGGTGGACTCAGGGCCTTGTGCTTGCTGGGCAGGGGCTCTTACCACTCGAGTCATGGCCTCCTGGTCTTTTCCTTTTTCTTTGTGGTCAGTCCTGAGGCTTGAACTCAGGCCCCGGGCGCTGTCCCTGAGCCTCTTTGTGCTCAAGGAGAGCGCTCTACCACTTGAGCCACGGTGTCACTTCCGGTTTTTGAGTGGTTGCATTGGAGGAAAGTCTCATGGGAACTTTCCTGCCTGGGCTGGCTTTGAACCCAGATCCTCAGATCTCAGCCTCCTGAGTAGCTAGGATGACAGGTGTCAGCCACTGACGCTCCTTCCTTCCTTCCTTCCTTCCTTCCTTCCTTCCTTCCTTGTATTTTGGATAGGGTCTGGCATTTTTGCCTGAGGATGGCCTTGAACTCCATTTCTCCCAACTATCTGGGGTTGTTATTGTTGATTCTAATGAATTTCAATGAATTTTATTTAAAAAAAATAAACACAGATAGGGGCTGGGAAGCTTAGTGGTAGAGTGCTTGCCTAGCATGCATGAAGCCCTGGGTTCAATTTCTCAGTACCACATACACAGAAAAATCTAGAAGTAGAGCTGTGGCTCAAGTGGTAGAATGATAGCCTTGAGCAAAAGAAGCTCAGGGACAGGGTCCAGGCCCTGAGTTCAAGCCCCAGGACTGGCAAAAAAAACAAAAAACAAAAAACAACAAAAAAAAACCCACCTCCCACGCCCCCCCAAAAGCAAACCCAGATATTCAGTCTACTTATGGTACATCTCTTAAGTATACTTAGAGCTAACCAAATACAGTTTCAACAATCAAACTTATAATGCTTGAACTGAAATCAGGTACTTATAATAACGCATCACCCAAATTGAAGTGCTTTTAATATACAACACAAGCAGATTTTAAAGTTTCGATTAAAAAAAAAGGACATAAAATATCTCCTGAATACATTTCATGTGGAGTAGATGCTAAACTGAAAATAGGCTGGCTATAAGTAGGCTGGGTTTTAAGTAGAGCATATTATTAACACGGACTTCCTGGTCCTTTTAACTTAAAAAACATTGCAGCTACTACTGAAATTAAAGTATTATCTAGGCACAGCACATTATATCTGTGTGCGGGAAAAAAAGCATAATGAAACCCATTAAAACCTGTTAAAAAATTCAGTAAGGGATAAAGAGCGATTAATAAAGATGGAATGAATTTGATCAAATGACTTTATATATGTGTGTGTGTGTGTGTGTGTGTGTGTGTGTGTGTGTGTGTGTGTGTGTGTGTGTGTGTGTGTGTGTGTATACACTTCCTGGGGCTTGAACTTAGCGTTGTCCCTGAGCTAGCTTTGCTCAAGGCTAGCACTCTATCACTTGAGCCACAGTGCCACTTCTGGCTTTTCTGTGTAGGTGGTGCTAAGGAATCCAACCCAGGGCTTCATGCATGCTAGGCAAGCACTCTACCACTGAGCCACCTTCCCAGCCCTCAAATGATTTTATATGCATGTATGAACAGCATGAGAAGATGAGGGACTCGAGTATTATTTTGTGAGTGTAAATGTAGCATCTTGGCACTCAGGATCAAATGATATAGACAATTTCAGGCATCGGTGACATTCTGTCCAATATGAAAAAGAAAGCTATAACACTAAAAAAAAATAAGATCCTAGCAATGTCACTGCAAATAATACATAGAAAAGTTATAGTAATGTAGGTGTGTGTGTGCATGTGCGTGCATACATGTGCTAGTACTGGAGTTTGAACTCAGAACCTTGTACTTGCTTAGTTTTTTGACTCAAGCCTGGTGCTCTACCACTTGAGCCACACCTTCACTTCTAGCTGGTTTGCTGGTTTATCAGAGATAAGAGTCTCACAGATGTATCTATCTGGGCTGACTGTAAAATAGAATCCTCCTGTCTCAGTCTCCTGAGTAGCTAGGATTATCTATGTGAGCCAAAAGCGCCTGACTGGTTGCATTGAAAATATTAGGGCAAGATTCCTGTTCTTCTCTGTCTTGTAGTCTTAGTTTTTTTTTTTTCTTCATACAAATAAAGCATGAAGCCAGGCACCCAGGGCTCATACCTGTCATCCTAGCTACTCAGGAGACTGAGATCTGGGATTCATGGTTCAAAGCCAGCCTGGGCAGGAAAGTCCCTGAGACACTTATCTCCAGTGAGCCACCAGAAAACCAGATGTGGTGCTGTGGCTCAAGTGGTAGAGTGCTCGCCTTGAGCTGAAGAGCTGAGGGACAGCCCAGGCCCAGAGTTCAAGTCCCAGGAGAAAGAAAGGAAGGAAGGAAGGAAGGAAGGAAGGAAGGAAGAGATATTTTGTGTGATGTTTTTGTATTGCTGTATTTTATTGCCAGGAAGTAGTTCTATTTCTGTGGTATGTTACTTCCATGTGAACTTTGGGGTGCATTGGAATGCAGGCTAACTTTTGAATTTTGTTTTTTGTCCCTGGGGTGTGACGTACTTCCCTGAATAGGGTAGCTTTCACTATCTGGTGTTTCCTGTAATAAAGCAATGTGGCCACCATTTGCTATGTGGAATCTTTTTTTTTCTTCTTCTGTTGGTTGGGGGGCTTGAACTCTGGGCCTGAGCGCTGTCCCTCAACTCTTCAACTCAAGGTGAGTGCTCTACCACTGGAGCCACAGCGCCACTTCTGGCTTTCTGGTGGTTTTATTGGAGATGAGAGTCTCATGGACTTTCCTGCCTAGGCTGGCTTTGAACTGCGATCCTCAGATCTCAGCCTCCTGAGTAGCTAGGATGACAGATGTCAACTACGGGTGCCCGGCTCACATCCCAGCAGAAGTGGATCTGACCATCCTCATTTTTTTTTGGTGGGGGCGGCGGGGAAGAATATGAGAAAACTGAAGATAGAGTTGGGTGAAACCACTTGTCCAAATGCATGTGGGTAGCAACACTGGCATGCATTTGTCATGGGACTGGGGTGGGTGGATTGGGCTGAGATCCAGGTGAGGGAAAGGGAAACGCCCACCTGCCGGGTGGCCCGCCCCCTCCAGTCAATCCTGTACTTACCGAGGCCTCTTTGGTGTTGGTCTCCTCCGAGGCTGACTTGGCCACCTTCTGAATGATGGGGGCGATGTTGGTGGGGCCGTATAGCTGAAGCTTCGGCAGGCAGCTCTGATAAGCTTCCACAACACCCTGAATCCCTGAGGCGGAAATGACAGAGACTGACTAGTCCCACGGTCCCTTAAATACCTTTATGATCCAACACGCACAAACAGAAACCATTTGTTTTCTCTAAAGAGTTCTCAACAACGTCCTGGTAATATGCTCTGGTTTTTGTTTGTCTGTTTTTGAGACTTAGGGCTGGTCTTTGTATGTATATATGTGTATTTTTTTTTCTCTTTCTTTGTATTATTTTATTTTATTTTTTGTTGCCGGTCGTGGGTCCTGAACTCTGGGCCTGGGCGCTGTCAGCTCTTTAGCTCAAGGCGAGTGCTCTACCACTTGAGCCACAGCACCACTTCTGGTTTTCTGGTGGTTCATAGGAGATCAGAGTCTCACGGACTTTCCTGCCTGGCCTGGCTTTGAACTGGGATCCTTAGATCTCAGCCTCCTGAGTAGCTAGGATGACAGATGTGAGCCACCGGCGCCTGGCTGATGTGCTCAATTTTACATTCCCCCGAGAGAGCTTGGAGCAAGGTTGAGCGCTCGGTCAACGCCAGTTCAGGCAGACCCTGCCTGCAACAGCTTCTCCGGATGTGATGCGCATTGAGCGGCGCCCATCCTGCTGACACCCTCTTCCCACGGGAAGGGTACTGTACAGGATGACTTTTTATGCAAATTGCTCCAGTGATATTCAAATGTATGCAAATCACACCTGTACTTGCCTCACCCCCCACCTCCAACAGCAGCTCCTCCCATTCTATCCTGTAACTGCATCCTTGCTCCTGATCTGGCCATGGAGATTCACAGGAGACACCCTGGAAAATTCATCTCCAGGGCTACCATGCATCACTAGAAGACCCTTATCTGTTTTTTTTGGGGGGGGGTGTGTGGCAGGTAGAGGGGTTTCTCAAGTTTTTGCTGAAGACAATCAAGTTTGGTAATCTTTTTCCAGAAAAAAAAAAAAAAGAGCCAGATGGCCAGCTTCTACAAGTGTGTAAATGATAAGCTCTGGGAGGAGTGTTACATTCTGTGTGGGGGCCAATCCCTTCTGTGGGGGGGGGGGGGAAGAGGGGGAGGGGGACTGGCTTCAAACAATCATCCCCAGATCTCAGCTTCCCGAGTAGCTAGGATGACAGGTGTTCATCACCAGTGCCTGGTTTAACCACTCTTTTAAGAATTGAGTGGGCTGGGGAGGAAGGAGGGGCTTTGGAGCCATAATAAACCAGGGGAAGCTGGGTGTTATTGGTTCACGCCTGTCATCCTAGCTACTCACGAGGCTGAGATCTGAGGATCATGGTTCAAAGCCAGCCTGGGCAGGAATGACTGTGAGACTCTTATCTTCAATGAACCACCAGAAAACCAGATCAGGAAGAAAGAGAGAAATATGGACAGGTCCACTCTAAAAATGTCTTATGATTTTCTTTCTTTTTTTTTGGGGGGGGGGCCAGTCATGGGGCCTGAACTCTGGGTCTGGGTGCTGTCCCTCAGCTCTTCAGCTCACAGCTAGTGCTCTACCACTTGAGCCACAGCACCACTTCCGGCTTTTTGCTTATGTGGTGCTGAGGAATCGAACCCAGGGCCTCATGCATGGAAGGCAAGCACTCTACCACTGAGCCACCTTCCCAGCCCCAAATGTCTTATGATTTTCATAGCCACAAGGACACTTGACTCTCTGTTCCATTTAGAAGACATTCTAGCATGAAATGGTTTGGCCATCGTGATCTGCACGACTTCGGCATCGTTATTTTGTGGCATCGTCTTGGGGAATTTCAAGGCTAGAAGGAAGAAAGAGTGTTTATGTAGACTCTTCCTTGCACAACGCCTTGACAGCACTGGTGTAAAATCTTTGTTCTCAGGCAGACACCGGTGGCTCTCACCTGTCATCCTAGCCACTCAGGAGGCTGAGATCTGAGGATCCCAGTTTGAAGCCAGCCTGGAAAGTCTGTGAGACTTTTTGTTGTTGTTGTTGTTGTCAGTTGTGGGGCTTGAACTCTGGGCCTGGGCACTGTCCCTCAGCCTCTTTGTGCTTAAGGCTAGCAGCTCTACCACTTGAACTATATAGCACCACCTCTGGTTTTATGGTGGTTCATTGGAGATGAGAGTCTCATGGACTTTCTCGTCCAGGCGGGCTTTGAACGGAGATCCTCAGATCTGTTTCCTGAGTAGCTAGGCTGACAGGTGGCTAACTCTTTTGTCTTTTCCCTGCTCTCGTCTTTTAACTCTGTTATTGGGGGGCGGTCTCCGCTGCCCTTTGGGGGGTAGTAGCAGAAAACCTGCAGCGCTGCTATGAATGGATTGTGACAGGCCACAGGGGGGCAGAGAAATGGAGATGGGCCGAGAAGAAATGGGGAAAGTTTGGGGATGCCCAGGGCTTAGGCTTGGCTTTACCTGCACATTCGGGGTTATCTTCATTAAAGTTGATTGCAAAGTCATGAGAGACCTAGAAACCAATTCACATTAAAAATAAATAAATAAATAAAAGGAAGAAAGGAGGATTACAACTTGAATCCCATAAGGAGACGGGGGGGGGGGGGGGGGGGGGCAGGGGAGGGGGGAGGGAGGGTAATTAGGGTTTGCAAACAGATGCTGTTCCGTCCGTTCAGTTGTTAAGCAGCAGGACCTATTTTTTTTTTAAGTCCTTACACAATATCCATCTGTGATAAGAGGGTGAATTCTAAGCTTCCTGGGTAGTTGAAGTGACAGAAATCATTTTTTTTTTTAAATTCCCCCTTGAATCAGATAAATGCTTGCAGAAGGGGGAAATAAGAAAAAAAAATGTTCAGAAAAAAAATGTATGTATATAACTACAGAATAACTTCTAGTTAGAACTGGCCACTGGCTGGGGGTTAGATCAGAATGAGCTCCTACTGGGTCCAATGATTGAAACAAAATGACATTCAAGCCAGGCGCCGGTGGCTCATGCCTGTCATCCTAGCTACTCAGCAAACTGAGATCTGAGGATGGCGGTTTGAAGCCAGCCCAGGGAGGAAAGTCTGTGAGACTCTTACCTCTATTTAACTACTCAGAAAACAAAACAAAACAAAACTGGAAGTGGTGCTGTGGCTCAGGTGGTAGAGAGCTATCTTTGAGGCTCAGGGATGGTGCTCAGGCCCTGAGTTCAAGCCCCAGGACCAGCAAAAAATAAGTAACTCAATCATCCAAGTAGCTTGTTTCATTCATATGATGATCCTTACCAAAACTCCAGCTAAGCTGTTGACATTTAAGGATTATTCTGATGCGATAAACAGAACTCTAGGCCAGGAAGATTTTGACATATATCCAGGTAAAATTGACCCCATTCTACTTTTTTTTCCAGTCAGTCATGGGGCTTGAACTCAGGACCTGGACACTCTCCCTGAACTTTCTTCACTCAAGGTTAGTGCTCTATCCCTTCGAGCCACAGCTCTACTTCCTAGTTTCATGGTGGTTCATTGGAGATAAAGAGACTCACAGACTTCCTTGCCCAGGCTGGCTTTGAAACTGGATCCTCAGATCTCAGCCTCTTGAGTAGCTAGGATGACAGGCGTGAGTCACTGGCACCCGGCCCAGGTTACATTTTATGCCTAGTGGGTTGCCTGACTTTTCAGTGCTTAGTAGATCAGTCAGAAATAGGACATTTTACAAACTATCCCCAACTTCTCTATTAAACAAGCACGTCATGTATACTCTATGGCCTGGATATAGCTGACTGGGCACCATTTCTATACTCTTGTGGTGCTTTACCTCTAATGAAGGCTTCTAGACCTCTGTAGCTACACTGAACATGGAATATAAAGCTAATGAGAAGGAGGACAGGCCACAGAGAGATATGTTTCCACCCACGGCTTACCCAGTGGCCACCCAGGGAGGGATTGGTTCTTTAAGAAGTGACACCAGGGCTGGGAAGGTGGCTCAGTGGTAGAGTGCTTGCCTAGCATGCATGAAGCCCTGGGTTCGATTCCTCAGTCCCACATACACAGAAAAAGCCAGAAGTGGGGCTGTGACTCAAGTGGTAGAGCACTAGCCTTGAGCACCGAGAGGCTCAGGGACAGAGCTCAGGCGCTGAGTTCAAACCCCAGGACTGGCAAAAAAAAGAAAAGAAAAAGGACACCAAAGGAATAGCAGGTCTTTGATTTGACAGCAAAGATTGGCCTCTCCTCTTGACTTGTGATTCAGACACAGCCAGTAATAAAGATATTGATGAGCGGATATTGGAGGTGAGAGGTATTGGTGAGGCCCTGTCTGTCTAAAGGAGATGAATTCTCCAGTTTTTTGGTAGGCTTGGTTTTTGTTTCCTGTTTGTTTGTTTTTTTTTGCCAGTCATGGTACCTGAACTCTGGGCCTGGGCGCTGTCCCTCAGCTCTTCAGCTCAAGGCTAGCGCTCTACAACTTGAGCCACAGCACCACTTCCAGCTTTTTCTGCTTATGTGGTGCTGAGGAATCAAACCCAGGGCCTCATGTATGCAAGGCAAGTGCTCTACCACTGAGCCACCTTCCCAGCCCCTGGTAGGCTTGGTTTTTTGGGGGGAATGGGACAGGGGTTGGTCATGGGGCTTGAACTTGGGGCCTCGGTGCTGTCCCTGAGCTTTTTCATTCAAGTCCATGAGACTCTTATGCATTATTAACCACGTATACACACACAAAGCCAAAAGTGGCGCTGTGTGTCTAGTGGTAGAATGGGAGCCTTGAGGGAAAAAAAAAGCTTAGGGACAGTGCTCAGGCTCTGAGTTCAAGTCCCAGGACTGGCATAAAAAAAAAAAAGAACCCTTCCACTGAACCTTTAGATAATAACCCTCATAAAACAACAGGAAACTGGGTCTCTTCAAATGTAGGCTGCATGGAGCCAATCTCACTAGTGGTGAAGGTCGTTTCTGATTCTCTCTGCATCCTGTGGACCCATTGGGAAGGAGCTTCCAGTTCTCAGCCCTCCCCACACCAGCAGTCAACCAGGCCACCTCTACCCACTTACCGTGTACTCTGGGGGTATCCTGGCACCAAAGCCGAAGGCCGGGAACATTTTGTCACTGAAATTAAACATTAGGAAAAAAAAATGTGTTTCATTTTTTTTTTTCATCTAAAGAGGAAGAAGATCATCAAGCGGCATCACCTGGTTAGCACAGGTGACAAATGCCAACTGCTGAGGGGTGCCTCTTAAGGGTGTGAAAATGGGGCGCGGATCAAGAACACCAGTGTTCATCTTCTGAGTTCAGAGTTCAGTATAGTCACATGAGCACATCATTTCTTCCTTGAACTGTACACGCAAGTGTGGATCCCGGACCCTGGACCGGCCTTGAAATTTTCCTTCATCCTTATCTTATCCTTTCCCTACCTTTCTGTTTCCTTTGAAAGAAGATCATGTTTATATAGGGTATTAAACGTTATTTCCTACTAGCAATTCCAGTAAGCAGACTCCCCCCCCCCCCGCCCCCCCGACCCCATGCCTCCCACTACCTTAACCAGCAACAAAGAAGACTCTTTTTAAGCAAACTTTGTGCTCGCAGGGAGGTATGCAGCCCTCGAATATCGATCCTGGAGAAAGGCATACCTTTCTTACCCAACTGGCTTTTATCTCTGAGTAATAACACAACTGTGATTCGGTCCCGGAAGAATTCTTTATATTTCTCCCATCTTTGGGTTGGTCAAGGAGGAAAATCAATTCAGATTTAGGGCTCCTTTTTTTTTTCTTTTTTTTTTGCTGGTCATGGGGCTTGAACTCTGGGCCTGGGCGCTGTCCCTCAGCTCTTCAGCTCAAGGCGAGTGCTCTACCACTTGAGCCACAGCACCACTTCTGGTTTTCTGGTGGTTTATTGGAGATAAGAGTCTCATGGCTTTTCCTGTCCGGGCTGGCTTTAAACCACGATTCTCAGATCTCAGCCTCCTGAGTAGCTAGGATGACAGGCATGAGCCACCAGCACCTGGCCTAGGGCTTATTTCTGAATGGAGACTTTTATCCCGGGGAAGAAAATTGCCCTGGTCTGATTAACTTTGACAAAAATCAAAACAGCAAAGACAGATTCTCACCCATCATCTCCTCACCGACTAACAAACAAGTCATCAGCCACCAACGCTGGCGTTGACAAACTCTTACCAAAACACGGCCAACTTGATAAATATGGGCTTAGAGATACAGAAAAGCTAGGTTTCTTTAAAACCCAAGTCTATAGTTACTCACAAGACTGAGATCTGAGGATCACAGTTTGAAGCCTGCGGGAGGGGAGGGGGGAGAATTTCCCATTAATCAACAAAAAGCTGGAAGTAGAGCTATGGCTCGAGTGGTAGAGTATAAGCTTTGAGCACAAAAGCTAAAGGACAGAGCCTAGGCCCTGAGGTCCAAGACCTAGAGGACACACACACACACACACACACACACACACACACACAAATCCGAGTCTAAATTTTCTAGAACATCACCAGCAACTCTTTCTCTCTGCTGTGTCATTCTAGGCTCGGTGGCACATTACATCTAGCTTGTATCGGAGGAAATATTACTGCTGATAAATAAGAGACTCACAACAGCTTATAGAGGATTATCCAAAGCTCTGAGAAAAAAATATATAAGGCTTCTGGGTCTTGGGAAATGGTAAAATACTCTGCTTCAGTAATTCCTGCCTTACCCAAACCAGGATGGTGAGACCTGGGAGGTAAATTTCCACCATATCGGCAAGCCTTCCCCTAGGTAGAGGAGGGTCTTGGGTCTTCAAACTCCACTTAGAAGTCAGAACCAAGGAATTTGGGAGGCTTCCCACCATGTAGATTTCTTTTTCTTCTTCTTCGGTGAGTTCAGGAGGGGGTGGATGTGAAATTCTATGCATTTCCAATCACTCAGCCAGTGTCTCAGTCTTAATGATATTCCTTTCATACATCTTATGTCACCTTTGGGGGTGTGAAGTTTGTTGAGCAAGTGCCTTGCACTGTTATGTAACCGAGTTTTAAGAGTAGCAAGGTAAGAGAATATGCTTTACCTACATCGGGAATAATTAATGAGTCAGGAAGGATAAATTCTCTGAAGTTTGCCACCACAAAGCTTGTCGCTAAAAAAAATCACGCTGGAAAAAAAAAATCCAAACCTAAGCACAATAAGACTTTAACCTCTGTTCTCCCCGACAAAAATAAAACCTGGCAGACAGATTTTATGCAGGAAGTAAGAGAAAGTAAGTTAAGCACACAGAGAAAACATATAGGTGTCAATAGTCTTAAAAACTCAGGACTGAGTTGTGTGCTGGTAGCTCAGCTATGCAGGAGGCTGAGATCATGGTTCAAAACCAGCCCGGGCAGAAAAGTCCATGAGATTCTTATCTCCAATTAACCACCAGAAAACTGGAAGTGGTGCTGTGGCTCAAAATGGTAGAGCACTTGCCTTGAGCCCAGGCCCAGAGTTCAAGCCTGACAACTGCCAACAAAACAAAACAAAAAACGAAACATAGAGCTACCCTATGACCCAGAAATTCTACTTCTGGGCATTTATCCAATAGAATACAAACAAGGTTACACTAAAGCTGCCCATACAACCATGTTCATCACAGCATTATTTACCATTGCCAAGTATGCAATCAGCCCTGATGTCCCGCAATGGATGAATGGATCAAGAAAATGTGATTTTATATGTATATAAATATGTATACACATATATATATATACATATATACAAATATAATGGAATTCTAATCATCCATCAGAAAGAATGATGCTGTATGACTCATAAGGAAATGGAAAGACAAATATTTTTTAAACAAAGTAAGCCAAACCCAGAGAAACATAGAGAATGTACCTATAAATCCACCAGGGCAATGATTTTTTACTATCAGAATAAAATAGTTTACCTGAAGTAGTTGTACAATGGGGTAATAATTCTATACGTCAGATTATTATTATAATGCTTCTTTTTTTTTGAGGGGGGGTCCGGTTGTGGGGCCTGAACTCTGGGCCTGGGCGCTGTCCCTCAGCTCTTCAGCTCAAGGCTAGCGCTCTACCACTTGAGCCACAGCGCCACTTCCGGCTTTTTTCTTTTTTCTTCTTGGTGCTGAGGAATCGAACCCAGGGCCTCAGGCATGCAAGGCAAGCGCTCTACCACTAAGCCACCTTCCCAGCCCGATTATAATGCTTCTTGATCAGTGTCACCCTTTTCTTTGTTCTCCCTCATTTCCCCTCTCCTATTCTCAAAAATTCCTTTTTAATCACCTCACTATTCAGATAGTGTCATCCTAACTACTTAGGAGGCTGAGATCTGAGGATCCTGGTTCAAAGCCAGCCTGGGCAGAAAAGTCTATGAGACTCTTCTTTCCAATTAACCAGGAAAATTCTGCAAATGGTGGTTTCACTCAAGCCTTGAGTGGAAAGGCCAAGGGACATCTCCAGTCCCTGAGTTGAAGCTACACACTCCCCATTACTACCTAGCTTTATACCATGGAGTCAACAGAGACTTATAGATGTTTGTGTTTACATTGGTTCTTGCTTAAAATAAAAAAGACAAAAAAGAAGAAAAAAATCCTCTTAAACAAACACCAGAGCATTTTCACTTCTATCTAGCAATAATGGAATGGCAGAATAAATGTGATTCCATGTAACTTATGTAAATCACTCCCCACAGCAAATTCCCTAGGTGGAAATGGTCAATATTTATTATCAAGAAGAAATAAATACCTAGGCACTGGTGGCTCAGGCCTGTAATTCTAGCTCCTCAGGAGGCTAAGGTCTGAGGATTGTAGTTCAAAGCCAACCCAGGCAAGAAAGTCCTTGAATCTCTTATTTCCAATTAATTACCAATAAAAGCCAGAAGAGCTATGAATATGGCTCAAGTGGCAGAGCACAAATCTTGAGCAAAAAAAAGCTCAGGGGCAGCCTCCAGATTTTGAGTCCAAGCTTCAGAACTGGCACCAAAAAAAAAGAAAAAAAGAAAAAAAAAAAGAAAGTCAGGTATTGGTGGCTCACACCTGTCATCCTAGCTACTCAAGAGGCTGAGATCTGAGGATTGCAGTTCAAAAAGCCAGCCTGGGCAGGAAAGGCTGTGAGACTCTTATCTCCAATGAACCACCAGAAAATCAGAAGTGGAGCCATGGCTCCAAGTGGTAAAGCACTAGCCTTGATTTGAAACAGTTAAGGGACAGTACCTAAGCCCTGAGTTCAAGCCCCACCACTGACAAAAAAAGGAAAATAAAATAAAATATAAAAGAAGAACTAAATAATATCGATCTAATCTTTTTTTTTTTTTTTTTTTGCCAGTCCTGGGGCTTGAACTCAGGGCCTGGGCACTGTCCCTGAGCTTCTTTTGCTCAAGGCTAGCACTCTACCACTTGAGCCACAGCGCTACTTCTGGCTTTTTCTGTGTATGTGGTGCTGAGGAATCGAACCCAGGGCTTCATGCATGCTAGGCAAGCACTCTACCACTAAGCTACCTTCCCAGCCCCTATACTGATCTAATCTTGAAGTCACCTCTGTGCAAACACACATACCCACATGGCCATCTAAATGTATACTGGGCTGACACACATTCCTGCTAAACTTAGTGGTAACTTTTTAACTTAATTTACAGGATTAGCTAGATCTGGGTTCAAATTCTGGCTTTGGCTATGTGTAGCCAAAGAAATGACTTAACTTTGTAATATTCTGCCATTTAAAAATAAGCTTGGTGCCAGTCACCCACATCTGTAAGTTCTAGCTAGTCAGGAGGCTGAGGTCTGAGAAACACAGTTCGAAGCCAGCCTGAGTAGAAAAGTCCATGAGATTATTTGTGTCAGTTAACTTTTCAATAGCCAGAAAGTAGAGCTGTGGCTCGAATGGTAGAGCCTCATCAGCCTTCAGTGAGAAACCTAAAAGACAGCACCCAGGTCCTGACTTCAAGCCCCAGTATATAAAAAAAAATGACTCCAAGTTCATTTCAGATTAGATAAAAACCCATGCTTCTAGATCTCCAAAGTACAAAAGATTTAACTACGAGTTAAATTTGGTACCTCTGGAATGATGGTATTTCAGGAACAATCCCTGAGTAAATTGCAAAGGGTAACGTGTGAAGACTTCTTAAAATGGAAACAAATTGCTAGCCAATGGTCTCACAAACTAATAGGGAGAAGAAAAGAACAGAGCCAAGATTGTGTGGTGACGGAAGTGTGCGTGGTGCAAATGCCGATCCTCTAGGTTTGGAGACGGTGAAAGATGTATTTCTGTTATTCATTGAGCCTCTACATAAGGACTTGATTCCTACGCTTCTCACACACACACACACACACACACATACACACACCTTACTCTTTTCGCAAGGATTAAGCTATGATCTCTTTGGAGAGACAAGAAGGCTCTGGCCAGCATGAAGTCTCTTACCTGTCATAGTCTTGACAAATCTCTCCTACAGCTACCAAAGCCTTCAGGTACTCGTTGGGTTGGTAAGGGTGGATGTAATGTAGGGAGCAGCTGTTCCTGGGGTCCCCATTTGAGGCAGTGAAATCTATAGCTACCTGGAAGAGGAAAAAGAGGAGAATGAGTAGACTGGAAACGAACGCAATCACCGAAGGATTACAATTGGCCAGGAGAGACACAAGGCTTCAGATTACAGGGGAGGGGCGGGCGGGGAAGAAAGGGAGGAGAAACACCTACTTATTAGTATGCGAAGAAATTAGTGATCATCTTGGCAAATTGGTTATTGATTTGGTTGTGGAGATTTCTACAGCTCTCCAATGCCCTCCTCCCTTCTCCTTGTCTAAACAGAACTTGTGGCTGAGGTTAGAAAATCCAACCACTGTTCAACGGTGTCACTAGGTAGTAAGAGTAAAGGATATAGGCTGGGAAGGTGGCTCAGTGGTAGAATGCTCACTTAGCATGCATGAAGCCCTGGGTTCAATTCCTTAGTACCACATATACAGAAAAGCCAGAAGTGGTGCTGTGGCTCAAGTGGTAGAGTGCTAGTCTTGAGCCAAAGAAGCTCAGGGACAGTGCCCAGGCCCTGAGTTCAAGCCCCAGGACTGGAAAAAAAAAAGAGTAAAGGATAAACTATCTGTCTTCCAATTTCACAACTCACTAAAGAAGAAAGTCCTGTGCTCCCTGGACAGAAAAATTCATTTACGAGGGCACAGGTTAAAAAAAAAAGCCTGAAACCCAAATTCTGTGTTGATGATATTGTTTTTACAACAAAGCTATCTTCTTCGTTTCATGAGTGGCCAGTTGCAGAGCAACTCAGTGAAGCAGTTATAACAACTTTTCTGCAAGGACCAACTCTACAGAAGGCATTCTGCTTTTTGGTTCTTGAGTTTTCTGTTTTCTGTTGTTTTTTTTTTCCCCTACCAGTCCTGGAGCTTGAACTCAGTGTCTGGCACCATCCCTGAGCTTCTTTTTGCTCAAGGCTAGCGATCTACCACCTGAGCCACAGCCCCACTTCTAGCCCTTTCTGTGTATGTGGTACTGAGGAATCAACCCAGAGCTTCAGGCATGCTAGGGAGCACTCTACAACTAAGCCACCTTCCCATTTCTGGTTCTTTTACTCAAGAACTTCTGCCTACCACAAAGAAGTACCCGAATGTTTGGCATACGGATGGAGGAGTGCATAATCCTCCAAATAAAAGTTGACTTATCTAGCCAGGCGCCGGTAGCTCACGCCTATCATCCTAGCTACTGGGGAGGCTGAGATCTGAGGATCGTGGTTCAAAGCCAGCCTGGGTAGGAAAAGCTGTGAGACTCTTATCTCTAATAAACCATCAGAAAACCGAAAGTGGCGCTGTGGCTCAAGTGGTAGAGTGCTCTCCTTGAGCTGAAGAGCTCAGGGACAGTACCTAGGCCCTGAGTTCAAGCCCCATGACTGAAAAACAAACAAAACAACTTAGATAAGGAAGTAAACTAGTGGTCTTTACTTCCTAGCCCTTTCTCTAAGTCCAATGACTTTAAAAAAAAAATATTAAACTTCTATTTTCTCATGTGACTAGATCGCAAGCAAGAGTCTGAAGTACAAGGTAGTCTGAAGATTTTATTTTATTTTTTTGGCCAAGTGGCAGATCCTAAAATCTCCCTCATGAAGCTGGAGATAAAATGTCCCTCTTCAGGAGGTGGCCTTCTACTGGGGTGGTAGAGGGGGAGGAGAAGGGTTCTCTGTGCTTTTTATTGTTAGCATGCGTGGAAAGAGAACAGCGTGTGAAAGGTTAGATTTATTTTAGGGAGCGACGGGGAGGCAAAGCGAAAGACGGGATTAAGTCGAGAAATAAAGGCAACCAAGTCACAGGGGAAAATGCCAGGCCGGATTCCCGAAAGCCAGCAGGTTCAGCAGAGCCTCTGCGTTCCCATTTATCTGCTCCGAAGCATTTTAGGAGAACCCGTGGTTTGGGTACAGGCTCCAATCTTCTCGGTGGGCCAGAGGACAGGGGCCCATTTCTTTTTCCTTCTGCCTAGGAGGCCACTGTTCATTTTTGAGGCAGCACTTTGCCAAAAAAGAATCTCACAGAGCAAGAATGAAAAAAAAAAAAATCTCAACACTCCCTGGATGTCACCGAGTCCCCAATCTCCTGGAGCTGGATTCTCAGCACAGGCTGGAAGTGAAGGATGGGGCCTCAACTTCTTAGGCCTAATTGGATCATCTTTACCGATCTCTCTTATTACCCACAATCCACCTTTCCCATACCACATCCCAAGAAAGCTCTAAAATAGGTTAGTATACAATGGGTCTTGGCTAGAAGGAGGGATGGTTTGCTCTAAGGTCATTTCTTGAATGAGAGGCTAAATTCTTAAGTCTTCTGTTTCCACAAGATTCCACGGTGGAAGCTGGAAGTGGGGAGGCATTTGTTCCCCCAACCCGTTGCTTCTTGTTTTTTGTTTGTTTGTTTTAACCACAGGTTCAGCAGACATGACTTACATGCTCATTTCTGAATCTATTCCTAGTTTAACCCAGGATAGAAAATAAAGATTGAAGCCAGGCACCCGTGGCTCATATCTGCAATCCTAGCTGAGATAGGAGGATCAGCATTCAAAAACCAGCCCAGGCAGAAAAGTTGATGAGACTCTGAGGTCCGAATAACCAACAAAAAGCCAGAAGTAGAGTGGCTCAAAGTGGTAGAGCACCAAGCTCAGGGACAGGGCTGGAAAGGTGGCTCAGTGGTAGAGTGCTCACCTACATGCATGAAGCCCTGGGTTTGATACCTCAGTACCACATAAACAGAAAAAGCAGGATGTGACGCTGTGGCTCAAGTGGTAGAGCGCTAGCCTTGAGCAAAAGAAACTCAGGGACAGTGCCCACGCCCTGAGCTCAAGCCTCAGTGCCAGCAAGTGCGTGCATACACGTGCACACACACACACACATACAAATAATAAAATGGCTTTATCATAGTCCACTTAACAGGCAGTTTTGTAATTTGCATCGCCATTATTTTATTGTTAGACATTAGTGTGGCTTGTGGCTTATCTCTGAAAAAAAAAAATCTGTTACCCTGAAGAATTTGTTCAGGGGTTAGGGTAGCAGGGAGGACAGCTGTAAAATAATAATAATAATAATGATAATGATGATGATGGTGATGATGATGATGATGATGACGATAACTTTCAAAGGAAAAGCCTTTCATTCTTCCACCGTCTTCTTCCCAAAGACCTTATGGAGTCTGTCTCTCTGGTGCTGTCTGTGGTTCTGTCATTGGGTGTGTGAAATTCTAGTCGCTGGTTTTATTTTCAGCTGTGGTGCCAGGTGTCAAACCCGGGCTCCTGTTCCCCTCCTCTCACCTCTTCCAAGATTGTCTGCAGTTCTTGTGACTCCAGGACTTGCCAGACGTACAAAGCGTGTCCTCTGGGGGTGCCCTTGACTTCCACCCCCCCTTCCCCACCCCCCCCACCAAATCTGCCTGTGAGTGCATTTTCTAGGATGTAGAAGAGGCAGACTGAGGATCAGGTTCTCAAGTTCTCCAGGTGACCAAAAAAAGAATGAGCCTCATTGACCTAGAGCTTCCTTCATCACTCCCTGAATCTCTTTCCCTTGCGGATGGCTAGATTCTAGCCTAAACCCTCTGCCCAATCCTCAGATGGCTATCCTCCTTTGCCCCTCTTGCCTCCCCTTGGCTTGCTTTTTCCCCCCAACCCTCTCTCTCTCTTTTTTTCCTTTTCTCTCCTTTCTTTTCCTTTCTTTCTATCAATACTTGGGCGTGAACTCAGGCTCTCCTCTTCTCCCTTGTCTCTTTTTGCTCAAAGGCTGGCACTCTACCACTGGAGCCACAGCCCCACTTTTGGGCTTTCTCTCTCTTGCTTTTGGTCAGTTGTAGTCTGGGCCTGGGCGCTGTCCCTCAGCTCTGCAGCTCAAGGTGAGCGCTCTACCACCTGAGCCACAGCGCCACTCCTGGTTTTCTAGTGGTTCTTTGGAGATCAGGGCCTCACGGCCTTTCCTGCCCGGGCTGGCTTTGAACCCTGATCCTCAGGCCTCAGCCTCCTGAGTAGCCAGGATGACAGGCCTGAGCCACGGGCGCCCGGCTGTCATTTAATTAATGAACCCTTTGCATGTTTAAGAAAGGATTAGCTGGTGATGCTGCAGCAAGAAGAGACGGGAGCCTTACCTCCATCACCTGCCTGTCAATCACCTGCCTGTCAATCACCGGGCCGGGGCCTCAGCAAAGGATCCCAGCCTCTGAGGTCACTTCCCGAACCGCCCCTCGGTCCCGCCCCCTTCAGACAATGATAGGTTTCCCCGGGCTCTGAGGTCACTTCCTGAAACGCCCCCCTCCACCCCCGCCACGCCTCCTTTGGACAGCAACAGGCTCCCCAGGCTCTGAGATCACTTCCTCCCCCGCTGAGCCAACCCCCTCCCTGGCCACGCCTCCTTCAGACAGCGATAGGTTTCCCCGGGCTCTGAGGTCACTTCCTGAACCAACTCCCTCCTCCCTCCCCCTGGCCACGCCTCCTTCAGACAGCGATAGGTTCCCCAGGCTCTGAGGTCACTTCCGCATCTGCTGTGGTCCCGCCTCCCACCTCTCCCTATATAAAGCCTCTCACCCAGCGCCCCCGCCCTCTCTTCTCTGCTCTCTCCGCCGGTCTCTGTCTTGGGTGGGAGGTGGGAGGTGGGAGGTGGGAGGTGGGAGGTGGGGGGGTGGGGGGTGGGGGGGGTGGGAGGTGGGAGGTGGGGGGGGAGGCCTGGCAGTTTGCTCTGCCTTCTGTCCCCTCTCCCCGTCCACTCCTCTCTGCCTGACCCTCCTGGCGGGTCTCCTTTCAGTGACTCTCATGGCTACTAGTGGCCATCGTCTGAAACCTAGATCCACACGGGAGCTGGTGACGCCTTAACCACCTGGAGTCGGTCAGGGGATCGAGAAAGGAGGACGAGGCAGGGAGCAGGGTCTTCAGGCAGGCCGTGGGCCGAGGGGGGCGAGGGCTCGCGGGTTGAGAACCCTTGGGGGGGGGTCCACCTCTGTTTTTGGAGGTGTGGGGGAGATGGGGAGCCTATTCTTGGCAGCTTTAACTCCCCAAGGGCAAAGCAAGGCCTTGGAGGTCGAATTTAAGGAGTCGTTCTAGAGCAGGAGGAGAAGGAATCTACAGGATCTAAAACAAACGGAAATCGATCAGAGCTTTCCCTTGGTGTTGGAGGCAGGGGTGTGGGGGGGGGGAGGGGAGGGGAGGGACCTATAAATAGTTTCCTGAGATCATTCCTCTGCCTTATATCTTGGGAAGCGCTTTCCAGTCGTTCTCCTTTATGACATTTGCTTGCTTGCTTCGCTTCCAGGAGACTTGGATCCAGAAGAATCAACCCTGAGGACAGCTGGAATATGTGTGTGTGTTGGGGGGCAGGGGAGAACATGCCTGCTCCCTTCTGTATGAAACCAGGGTGTATCATTAGAGAAAATGAAGCTTTAAAGAAGCGACTAAATATCCAGGTGCGGCTGTCTCACGCCTGTCATCCTAGCTACTCAGGAGGCTGAGATCTGAGGATCGCAGTTCCAAGCCAGCCCAGGCAAGGAATCCCTGTAAGACTCTTCTACCTCCAATGCACCACCAGAAAAAGCCAGAAGTGGGAAGCTGTGGCTCAAGTGGTAGAGCGCTCGCCTTGAGTACAAAAGTTGTTCAGGGACAATGCCCAGGCCCTGAGTTCAAACCCTAGGAAGGATTAAAAAAAAAAAAAAGATGACTAACTTCTGAAAGCATTCAAGGGTAAATGGGCATTGCTCTTGACTTTAGGCAGGACATAGTAGCCTGTCCTGAGATGAGAGCAGGGAGAAGCTGACTATTCAATCTCACTTTCTCATTCCCCTGTGGGGCTGCCAATTTTATTTATCTTTGGAGACAATCTCCTACCTCTGGTCCCAGGTATACACTGATTGTGTCAGTTCTCTTGGATCCCAATCTGAACAATAACAACAACAATGCAACCGATTTGCTATGCTTTCCTCCTGTGACAAAGCACTGCAGAGAATGAACAAGGGCTTAGCTTTGTGATTATACTTCTCTACGACAAGAAACAAGTAAACATTGTACTTCTTGGTTTATACCCATGTTGTTTTCCCATGGGTTTTAGCACATCCTCCCCACTCCCCTTCCCCGACTCTGGGTTTTCTTTCTGAAGGTTACAATTAGCCCTAAACCTAGGAAGATTCTGAGTATTAAATGGGTGAAAACCAATGGTTCCAAGGCTGAGAACCTTAGAAAGACCCAGCTGGACTGAGACTAGATGCCTAGTCTTACGTCTCAACCTGATTTCAGTCTGATTTCCCCATCTTTGGGATTCAATGTTTGATAAATGAACTGGATGGTTGAACTCTTGGAAATGAGTATTGAGGCATGACACAGGTGCACCATACTTGGTTCTTGGGTACACAACCAGGACATGGAACCTACGTTCAGCATCATCTACCAGTGTGGCTCCCTTACTACTCATCCTTCTTATGGAATGATGGGAAGTGTCAATGCATACATGCCACCCTGTATACATGGTAGCTGTGCAACAGTGTATACAGTCACTGTTACTGAAGGCAGAGGAAGCCGCAGGGAGGGCCAGCTGTGGTTGAAGCATGAATTTCCTCAAATGATGCTGAGAATTAGACTTTTTTTTGGGTCGGTTGTGGGGCTTGAACCCTGAGCCTGGGCGCTGTCCCTCAGCTCTTCAGCTCAAGGCGAGCGCTCTACCACTTGAGCCACAGCGCCGAGCCACTAAGTGGTTTATTGGAGAGAAGAGTCTCACGGACTTTTCCTGCCCGGGCTGGCTTTGAACTTTGATTCTCAGATCTCAGCCTCCCGAGTAGCTAGGATGACAGGCGTGAGTTACCGGCACCTGGCTTTCAACTCATTTTCACACAAGATTCTAGACAATATTTCAGCGATGGGTCTTTTGAACAGAGCTGATGCAGGGTTGGAGTAGCATTTTGAATCTCCGATGTCATGCCTGCCCTCCCCTGTCCCCCAACCCAACCATCCACTCTGCTCCATTAGCACAAACAGACATGGGAAGGACTTACTGTAAACTGGATCTGACAGCCACCCATGATGTAATCCAGGAAGGAATGCATCTTGTGAATCTGTGCAGAAGAGGAAAGTGGGTTAAGAACACTCAGATGTTTCCGTACAGACTGGAGGCTTGACTTTGGAGATAGGCAGGAGAAAGGAGGAAATATCAGGAAGAGAGAAGAAGGGAGAGAGCGAGAGAGCTTGCTGGGGGAAATTGGGTCAGCTGATTCTGTTCCATTAAAAGAGAGAAATAAAGCAGTGTCAACACAGATGGGCCCGTGAGGGCTGCCAATCTCCACCCCCATAGTCCCTTTTCTTTTGGTTTAGACATCGTTGTAATTAACTTCTGCCTCCGGGGTGAGACCAAAACCATATTTTTGAGGGTCACTGTTGTTTTGAAATCAATAGTGTCTCATACTTGGCTTCAGTATTCTTCCCTGGGTCTAAATCAGAGGTCTGGAAATGTTCTTAATAAGCAAGTAATCTAGATTAGTGTCTTGAAGATATCAGACACTTGAGAAATCTTTTATTGATAATTTCTAGCTAAAATCTTGCCATAAACTCGGCAGTTACTGAGCACTTACTGTATGCCAGCCGCCATCCTGTATCCCATTCAATGTTTAGAACAACCCCATGGGATAGTATTAGTATTTATTGTAGGTCATGGGGCTTGAACTTGGCCTGGGCACTGTCACCGAGCTTTTCTGCTCAAGGCTAGGACTCTACCACTTGAGCCACAGCATCACTTCTGGTTTTCTGGTGGCTCATTGGAGATTAGAGTCCCACGGACTTTCCTGCCAGGGCTGGCTTTGAACGGCGACCCTCAGATCTCAGCCTCCTGAGGAGCTAGGATGACTGGCATGTAAGAAACCATCAGAGCCCATCTGATTCCATTCAGGGAAGCTTCTCAGAGATAAAACTCACAGAATCCCATGCTGGTCTCTGTCGGTGCGACATCATCAGTTGCTAGGTACACACATCTAGTGACAGACTTTCCTGAGGGTCCGTGTTCGCTTGGCCCTATGAAGAGTGTCTGCTCTTACTCCCTAGTGACATGTTTCCATTAACACTTCCTGAAATCAGCAAGGAAGTAAGAGCTTGAGTGACAAGCAGTGGCTACGGGTGCACTGGTATGAGATGCCTTCCTGATATAAGATCAACTTGTGGGACATCAGGGCAGCTGGATGCACAGTCACCTTTGAGGCAGATAACTACCGAATCATCTAGGTCATTTCTCCCGCTCCTTGGCTCAGCAAAAGCTCACACGAATGTTTTGGATAGACCCAGGATTTTATTTCTGTAGCCAATGTGTACTGTCCCCTAGGATTAAAATTAAATCAGAGAGAGGAAGAAACCTGCAGACATGGATGGGCGACTCTTTTAAGTGCTAATTGCCTGTGTAAAGATCACTTTGCTATTGAGGGTTTGACGGAGGCTGGATGGCATGGCGTACCACATGGCAGGGTCGCACGGGAAATAATCTAGGTCAGCCAGGTGAGGAGAAGAAGGAGTGAAGACTTCTAGAAAAAAACCTCTTATTGGACTGTGATTTTTTTCCCCCTCCACAGGAAGGAGGAAAACTATCCAATACATGTTTTAGCAGGCCTTCTCTAGGGGTAGATTCTTAATTACCTGATAGGGTGATCGAATACATGGGAAATGTTTGGTTTCACCAGCAAGCATCCCTAGTAGGGAGATGCTTGAAGATAAGGACTCACAATGGGGGTGTTTGTACACTGCCTGGCAGGCAAGTTGTCTTTGCTTGTCTCTGGGAATTCAGCTGACCCTGAGAGTCAGCAGTCCCTCCCTGGTCCCACAAGGCATCAGAAATACAGAAAATTAAAAACAAGCCTGAGTAATAACAATGATCTCCACCAGCCCATCATCACGCAGGGCTGTCTAGTCTCCGTTGATTGGTCCAGAGGGTAGGCATGTGACCCAAGCCAGACCAATCAACTTTTCCCTTTTACTCTCCTTGTTCCATGGGAATTGTAATCCTGCTGGCTGCCAGGGAGACACGAGTCTGGGGGAAAGATATTTCCCCCAGTTTCCAGGCCAGAGCTATGGAGTATGATTTGCTCTCAATACTAGACAGCCTTAGACAGCTGAGCCTTCCAACGAAACTACACAATGAGGGGGTCAGGCTAACAATACCCCACAGTGTATGCTGGGCTATGTCTGGGAGCATGCCTGTATTCAGTGCATTTTCAGTTTACAAGACCTGCAAATTACCACAAAAAACACGTTAAAAAAAAAAAGAGATGTGCAGACAGGCACCAGTGGCTCATACTTGTTATTCTAGTGACTCAGGAGTTCTGAGATCTGGGAATCATGGTTTAAAGCCAGCCCTGGGCAGGGAAATCCGTGAGACTCTTATCTCCAAAATAACCACCAGAAAACCAGAAATGAAGCTGTGGCTCAGAGTGGTAGAGCCTTGAGGGGAAAAGAAAAACAACAACAACAACAAAAAAGAGCTCAGGGACAGTACCCAGACTCTTGAGTTCAAGCCCCATAACCAACAAAATAAAGCATTTGAGGACTGAGGGATTGGAGACATGGCTCAGGTGGTAGAACGCCAGCCGTGAGCAAAAGCATCAGATACCGAGTTTGAGTCCCGGTCTCAGACAAACAACAAAAACTGAGGACTGCCAGTGTGTGTAACATTTAGATGGCAGGTTAGTTCTGTATGGTGGCATCAGACAAATATGGGTTAATAATACCCCCATTCCCCTTACCACTCCTGGCTGAGGGATTCCACCTTGCGTATGATTTCAAGGGGTTTTAATTATCACAGGGGATTCTCGGTGAAGCCAGGAGGAAGCTCTTTGGGAGAAAACTCTAGCCCTTCTCATCTTCTCCCATGCCCGATTTCCATGTGATCCTTGAAGCACTGAGAAAGTGTCACGGGGGCTGGGAAGGTGGCTTAGTGGTAGCGTGCTCACCTAGCATGCAGGAAGCCCTGGGTTCGATTCCTCAGTACCACATACACAGAAAAAGCCGGAAGTGGCGCTGTAGCTCAGGTGGTAGAGTGCTAGCCTTGAGCAAAAGCTCAGTGCCCAGGCCTTGAGTTCAAGCCCCAGGATGGCCAAAAGCAAAAACAAGCACTGAACATTGTCACAGGCATCTTGTAGAGGGTCTAGAAAATGTAGGCTGCCCTTTGGGGTTCTTTGTTCAGATCTGTCCTGACTTTGGGGGATGGAGAAAGGATGGTGACATTGGGTTATCAGAGATCCAAGGCCACTCCTGGAGACCATATATATATATATATATGTACATATATATTATACATTATGTACAGATTATATATATATATTTCCTCTTTGTATGTCCATGAATACATTGATTTTTTTCTGGTGGCTCACACCTGTCATCCTCGCTACTCAGGAACCTGAGATCTGAGGATCGCAGTTCAAAGCCAGCCCAGGCAGGAAGAGTCCATGAGACTCTTATCTCCAATGAACCACCAGAAAACCAGAAGTGGCGCTGTGGCTCAAGCGGTAGAGCGCTCGCCTTGAGCTGAAGAGCTGAGGGACAGCACCCAGGCCCAGAGTTCAAGCCCCACGACTACCAAAAAAAGGGGGGGGGGGGACATTTCCTCATCAGAGTCTCTCCCTCTGACCATCTCATTGGAACGCTGGCTTCCAGAACTCCCTACCTTCACACTCACATTCCTGGAGGAGCGCGTACGTACCTTACACTGATTCAGGATCACCATGCCTGAGTTTTTGTAATTCTTCTTCTTGGCTTTGTACTTGGGGTTGATGCATTCCCACTGTACCTGCGGTGAGAAGATTTGTAGCCATGAGAACCTACTCTGCTCAGGGGGAAACCAAGTCACTCAGAAGATGAGGAGCTCAAGCTTCTGACTGCTACTCTTGAGTCCAGTGTCCTACACTCTCCTGTACTAGAAGGCTGAGAGAGGTCTCAGGATGGTAGCCATTGAATGGAAGGGAGCCACGTAGGGGAACTCTGACGTCAGAATGTCTGGGGCTTGAACTCAGGGCCTGAGTGTTGTCCTTTAGCTTTTTTTCCACTCAAGGCTGGTGTGCTACCCCTTGAGCCACAGCTCTACTTCTGGCTTGTTTTTTTTTTTGCTGGTTCATTGGAGAGAAGAGTCTCATGGACTTTCCTGCCCCAGCTGGCTTTGAACCATGATCCTCAGATCTCAGCCTCCTGAGTAGCTAGGATGACAGGCGTGAGCCACCACATCCAGATTCAGCGTTTTCATTTAATTGTTATTGTAAGGGTGGTATACAGAAGGGTTACATACACCGGGTAATGAGTACATTTCTTTGTGAGCCGTGCCAACCACTCCCTCCTTTTTCTCCCGGTTTGGTTGTATGAACGGGTTTCGATTCAACACAGCAGCTCATCCACACAGCACATCTTGGATCTTTCCATCATTGGATCCTTCCATCATTCTCCTCCCCATCTCTCCCATCCCCACCCATTCTTAATTATTAAGTTGAATAAAATGAAGTACAGAGAAAGTCACTTTTTCCAGGACAATATAGGTAGAAGAACTTAGAAGGCTGGGAATGTGGCCTTAGTGGTAGTGTGCTCACCTAGCGTGCATGAAGCCCTGGGTTCCATTCCTCTGTACCACATACACAGAAAAAGCCAGAAGTGGCGCTGTGGTTCAAGTGGTAGATCACTAGCCTTGAGCAAAAAGAAGCTCAGGGACAGTGCCCAGGCCCTGAGTTCAAGCCCCAGGACTGGCCAAGAAATAAAAGAAAGAACTTAGAAACGTCCTCATTTACTCCCTGTATATTACTGATGGAGGAAAAGAAACAAGTCCCCGTTAGAGACAGGTCTCACAACTGCTGTGGGTTGGGCTAGATCAAGGGTCAAATCCCTTTTCCTGGTCCTACATGGGTGTCTTGGCTCTGATGTTTCCTAGTGGCTGGGGCTATGCCCCAGGGAAGACCTGGAAGAAAGAAGGGCGGAAACTCCATAAGGTTGTTCTCACTCACCTGCTTCCCTTCTATGGCGCCTCTCATCTCCTTGAATGTGGAGGTGAATTCGCCGATGAAGTCATGCTTGCCACTGGAGTCCCAGTCCCACACGATGCACTGTGGGAGAAGACAATCATCCTTTTCCTCTAAATGAAGAATGTTGGAGCCAGGTGGCTCACGCCTGTCATCCTAGTTACTCAGGAGGCTGAGATCTGAGGACTGTGGTTCAAAGCCAGCCCCGGGAAGAAAATCTGTGAAACTCTTTATCTCCAATGAACCAGCAGAAAACTGGAAGTGGCGCTGTGGCTCACGTGGTAGAGCACTCAGCCTTGAGCTGAAGAGCTGAGGGACAGCACCCAGGCCCAGAGTTCAAGTCCCACAAGAAGTGGAACTGTGGTCCAAGTGTAGAGAGTCAGCCTTGAATGAAAATGCTCAGGGATAGCACCATGCCCAAGTTCAAATCCTACCAGCATGTGTGTGTGCGCGCACACACATACACACACACACACACACACACACACACACACACACTGGTTCTTAACATTAAGGCTTAAAGCGAGGAAAAAAGACAGAAGAGAAAGAAGGAAAGGAAGGAAGAGAGAGAAAAGAGTCAGATGCAAAGAAGAGAAGCAGGAGTAGCCATTCCCCAACCCCTTTGTCATTGTCAATAGAAGGCCCCTTGGTGTCAAAAGTCAAAGTAAAGCAATTGCTGAAGTGTTTGTGTCAAGGGTCCTTCAAATGGCCACCTTTTAAAACAAGTGTGTAAAACTAAAAATGCTGTCCAAGACGCCTTATTTCCAAGTGTGTAAGCCACCATGGCTACCGAGCTAATGGCTGGCCTGCGTTTCCTGCCTTCTTTGCGGTAATCAAAAAGGCTCAGTGACGTCGACAACAGTTTCCATCTGAATTAGTACCTTGATGTGCTATGCAAAGAGCTAGGTTGTTTAACCAGCTGCGGGTTCAAAACTCTCAGCTCCCCGAACTACACCCAGGATGCCTCACATCTCCTGACTTCTTCCAGGTCACCATGGCGACCCTGATCAGCTTTCCATCCAAGTTGATCCGGTCTGTCCAACTCATTCTCTGTGCTTTCCTTATTCTAACACCTTCATGGGCCAGTTTCCTAACACCAGGAAAGAGAGAGAAACAGAGAGAGAGAGAGAGCGAGAGAGAGAAACCACTAGGCTCTGTGATGGGTCTAGCTGGGGTGAAAGGTTGGGGGGGGGAGGACGCGGGGATGACCACCAGGCCTCTCTGAGCTGGAGGATGAACTGGGGTTTTCTTTCTGCAACACCATTCCCTCCCGGTCTCTGGGAGCAGGTGCGATCATCTGCAGAAGCTCTGCCTCTTCGCTCAGCTGGCATTTCACATCAGGCCAGTCGTAGAATTTCATTTTGATCTTTCTCAGAAAGCCGGGGAGGGGAGGAACAGGGTGGTCCCTGGGGAAGGTGAAGCAGACAAATAAACCCGTCTTCTTCTCTTTCTGTGACAGCTCTGCCTGACAGGGAAGCTCATCTTGGGAGGGAAGAGTAAACAAATCAGCTGCCCGAGAGGCCGAGGTCTTCGCATGAATCCACGAGGATATCTTGGCATCTCTGCCATCTGGAAAGTTCCTCCAGCTCACTCAGGAGTTTGGGTAAATAATCTTAAACTGTGTTAAGTTCAACAGGATTGTTCAGTTGACGCTCCTATTTTACAAGGAAGGAAATTAATGATATAGGTCACCCCGTTGCATGGGGACCTGAATCTCCATCTCCTGCCTGCCTGATTTTATTAATACTGCACAAATAGTCAGATAGAATAGCTAAATAGAGAAAGAATCAAATTGCATACATTATATATACGTATATATGAGTGAAAGAGCTCAGGGACAGCGCCCAGGCCCTGAGTTCAAGCCCCATGACTTAGACATATAGATAGATAGATAGATAGATAGATAGAGATATAGTGAGTCATGGGGCTTGAACTCAGGGCCTGGGCACTGTCCCTGAGCTCTTCAGATCAAAGCAAGCACTCTACCACTTGAGCCACAGCACCACTTCTGGTTTTCTGATGATTAATTGGAGATAAGAGTCTCAGGGACTTTCCTGCCCGGGCTGGCTTTGAACTATGATCCTCAGATCTCAGCCTCCTGAGCAGCTAGGATGACAGGCATGAGTCACCAGTGCCTGGCCTTTATTATTATACAGTTCTTTATGAATTATATCTCCATCAAGCTGCTAAAAAAAAATACCTTCTAGCTAGGTGCCAGTGGCTCATGCTGATAGTCCTAGCTGCTCAGGAAGCTGAGATGTGAGGATCGCAGTTCCAAGCCAGCCTAGGCAGGTAAGTCCGTGGGACTCTTACCTTCAATGAACCAGCAAAAAGCTGAATAGTAGGTGTGGCTCAGGCAGTGGCGTGCTAGCTCATGAGTAAGCCATCAGAACAAGCGCAGAATGAAGACGCATGCAGGGTGGAAATGGCCGAAATGGAAGATAGCACCTGAAGGCTGGCGGTGAGTGTTCCCTGCAGTCAGGGAAGGGCTTTCCAAGAGCAAATAAGCAAACAGCAGCACCTGGTAAATGTCATTTGCAAGTACAACGTTCTTCTTATTGACACAGAGGAACAAAGGCCTCCTATCAGGGCCTTGCCTGAGCACACAGCAAAGGCAGCCAGAGACATAGAAGGGACGAGAGGACCATGCAGAGAGCCTTTACCCTTTTCTCTCATTTACATGGCTGCCTGGCTTTAGTTACTTATTGTTTGTATTTTTATTTTTTCCAGTCCTGGCGCTTGAACTCTGGGCCTGGGCGCTGTCCCTCAGCTCTTCAGCTCAAGGCGAGCGCTCTACCACTCGAGCCACAGCGCTACTCCCGGTTTTCTGTGATTCATGGGAGATCAGCGACCCCCTGGACTTTCCTACCCGGGGCTGGCTTTGAACCACGATCCTCAGCTCTCAGCTTCCTGAGTAGCGAGGATGACAGGCGTGAGCCATTGGTGGCCTGGTTTTTAGTTCTTTTTTTGAATAGAGACCTGTGTTCTTGTCTCTGGTCAACCTGGATCATAATCTTCCTGCCTATCCTTCCCTTCTAGCTGGAATGACAGGTTGAGATGGGGTGTTTCATAACTTTACCCAGGCTGGCCTCAAATTGCTATCCTCCTGATCTATCTACCTGTCTACGTGAGTGTATGTACATATCTATCTATCTATCTATCTATCTATCTATCTATCTATCCACTATCTATCGATGTATGTATCTATCCATTTATCTATCTACCTATCTATATATCTACCTACTTATCTATGTTTGTATCTGTCTGTCTGTCTGTCTACCTATCTCCCCACCATTTGAGCCACAGCTCCATTTCTGGCTTTTGGGCAGCATATTGGGGATAAGAGTCTTGTGGATGTTCCTTCCCAGGTTAGCTTCAGACCTTGAATTTCAGATCTCAGTCTCCCAAGTAGCTAAGATGACAGGCATGAGTCACCCGTGCTGGGTGACTGTGGTATTTCTTAGGGAGTCAACTGCCCTGATACTTATTACCAATCCCCAGAACAGTCTCGTGCTCGGATTGGCTCTCTGACAGCCATGGAGAGACGCAGGACTCCTCTCACATAGAGGAATGGCGCAATCTGACAGCAATTTAGGAAGTGGAAAAACCTCGGGTCTCGATCTCTTAAGTAAACAAGTGAAGGAGGGAGAAATTGAGAATCGCCCTCAGATCACCAGCTCGGCTAACGGAACTGGGTACCGCTGTTCATTGAAGACAGGGATCAGAGGCCAAACGGATTTGAGGGCCAGGGGATGGGTTAGCATTTGTCCACAGAGAAATCCCCCCTCACTCCTGACCTCTAATAAACACCATGATTCTCTGAACTCATGACAGGTAATCATTGCTTCTCCTTACCCAGATGCCTACGTCTCTGTCTCTAAACCAGCCGGGCTGCTTGTCATTTATTGATTGCTGCAATTTGACACTCTAAGACAGCCTCCCATTCCGTTCCCCCCGCCGCCCCCTGCCCCAGGAAGAAAAGGCTCATGGAATGACCAGAAAAGAACAGATGACTCCATTTGTATGGCTTAATCGGTTTGGAAACCACAAGCTGCCTTGAGAGACTGGCTGACGGGCCAACTAGATTACTGTGTATTTCTAACATAAGCCCATTTGCTTGCTTCTCTTGTCTAATTATTGACATAGGTGTTCAGGACTGGGGTGTGTCAGAAAAGGGAACAGATTTCCAGCCTCCCCCCCCCCCCAATCATGGGGGAATGAACCGTTCCTGACCATTCACCGGAAATGAGCCAAATGGTGGGGGGTGAACTGATGAGCCCAAGCAAGAGTAGATCTTGAAGTTGAACTGGCCATCTATGGGACAGTAGAAAAGAAACTCCAGCAGGGCACCAGTGGCTCACGCCTGTCATCCTAGCTACTCAGGAGGCTGAGATCTGAGAGGATCGCGGTTCAAAGCCAGCCTGGGGCAGGAAAAGTCTATGAGACTCTTATCTCCAGTGAACCACCAGAAGTGGTGCTGTGGCTCTAAGTGGTAGAGTGCTCGCCTTGAACAAAAGAGCTCAGGGACAGCACCCAAGTCCTGAGTTCAAGCCCCACAACTGAAAATGAATGAATGAATGGATAAGTAAATACATAAATAAATAGAAACTCAAACATTCTAGCCAGACCAGAAATCAATTTCTTTCCTGTCCTGTCCTGTTCTGTCCTATGGTACTAGAGTTTGAACTGAGGACCTCACACTTGCTAGGCAGGTGCTATACCACTTGAGCCATGCCCCAATTTGATAGAAACTGGCATGCGGCTGAGGCTTCATGCCAACTTAACCTCCGATATTTAAATTGTTCATTGAGGTGTGTGTGTGAAAGGGAGAGAAAGAGAAAGGGAGAGAGAGAGAGAGAGGAGGGGGGGGGAAGCCATATGAGGTCAGACAATCTAAGAGGCAGAGAGAATCTTCCTGCGCCTCTTAACCTATCTTCATTGGCCTAGCCATTTGTAGCCAGTCTTACTGAGTCACGAAGCTTGCTGACTGTCAGTAAGACAGTTTAGAAGTTCCTTGATGAAATGAGAAAACAACAACAACAACAAAAAATGTATACAAAGATGTGAGCTGAAAATTGCTACCA